TGTCAATTTTTGGAGGAAAAATAGGTAATTTTTTTGAGCAATTTTACCTTAATTGTTCGAAAGAATTCCCCCAGATATACCACACCTGTCCAGCAATCGATTTGAAATGCATCTAAGGCCCTTATGGCATCTTTCTAGCAACTTTCAGGAAATTTCATTTTTTGGCCAAAATTGAAAAAAATGTAAGGGGTTAGCCTTACATTTTTAGTCAAAATCGTCCCAAAATGGACTTTTCTCAAAACAAAGCAGAAATTCACCTGGATGCAAGAGGAACATCAATCAATACTCTAACACACATAATTTTGAAGATTTGGGCAAAAATCGTCAATTTTTGGAGGACAAAAATAGGTAATTTATTGAGCGATTTTACCTTAATTTTTGGACAGAATTTCCCCTTTAATAGCACATATGTCCAGCAATCGATTTGGAATGCGTTCTAGGGCCCTTAAGGCATCTTTCTAGCAACTTTTCAGGAAATTTAATTTTTTGGCCAAAATTGAAAAAAAATGCAAGGGGTTAGCCTTACATTTTTAGTCAAAATCGGCCAAAATTTGACTTTTCTCAAAACAAAGCAGAAATTCATCTGGATGCAATAGAAACATTAATCAATACACTAACACACATCAATTTGAAGATTTGAGCAAAAATCGTCAATTTTTGGAGGAAAAATAGGTAATTTTTTTGAGCGATTTTACCTTAATTGTTCGAAAGAATTCCCCCAGTAATACCACACCTGTCCAGCAATCGATTTGGAATGCATTTAAGGCCCTTATGGCATCTTTCTAGCAAGTTTCAGGAAATTTCATTTTTTGGCCAAAATTGAAAAAAATGCAAGGGGTTAGCCTTACATTTTTAGTCAAAATCGGCCAAAAATTGACTTTTCCCAAAACAAGGCAGAAATTCATCTGGATGCAAGACGAACATCAATCAATACTCTAACACACATAATTTTGAAGATTTGGGCAAAAATCGTCAATTTTTGGAGGAAAAATAGGTAATTTATTGAGCGATTTTATCTTAATTTTTTTGACAGAATTTCCCCTTTAATAGCTCATCTGTCCAGCAATCAGTTTGGAATGCGTTCTATGGCCCTTAAGGCATCTTTCTAGCAACTTTCAGGAAATTTCATTTTTTGGCCAAAATTAAAAAAAATGTTAGGGGTTAGCCTTACATTTTTAGTCAAAATCGTCCAAAAATGGACCTTTCTCAACACAAGGCAGAAATTAATCTGGATGCAAGAGGAACATGAATCAATACTCTAACACACATAATAATTTTTTGGTAATTTTTTGAGCGATTTTACCTTAATTTTTCGACAGAATTTCCCCTTTCATAGCACATCTGTCTAGCAATTGATTTGGAATGCGTTCTAGGGCCCTTAAGGCATCTTTCTAGCAACTTTCAGGAAATTTCTTTTTTTGGCCAAAATTGAAAAAAAAAAATGCAAGGGGTTAGGCCAAAAAAAAAAAAAGTCTCTGGTCTCTGGTCAGACCGAAGTTCTGGAATTGATGCGGCGACGCGTTTTGAAAAAAAATAATTTAGTGGCTTTATTTTTTTTTCAAGCTTGAATTGTATAGACAAGGTGGGTACTATTTTGCTTTTTCGTGTCCTCATTATACATTGGTGTCCTCCATAATTTGGCTTGGTTCCCTTTATCATTTGCCTTGGTGCAATTTTACATTCCTTGGTGCTCCTTGGTACAAAAATTTGAGGTGCAGCAGAAGAGGGCGCTGTTGAAGCTGCCGTGGACAATTTGAAGAAAATAAAAAGCAAAAAAAAAAAAAAAAAAATTTCCCCAAATCAGTTCATTTGCAGACAAACATTTAAGAGATACTGATATTAATAAACAACACAATTTATTGAACAGTTCACAGGTTATAAGTAGTTGAACGGTCACACATAAAGATACAAAAATTGGTCTGAACTGAATAGGCACTTTATAAAATGCGCAAAACTTGGAGTGAATGTAAAGCTGCATTAAACTGCAAGAGTTTCTGTAACAAAACGATATTGACTTACACCTGCCTCCGTGGGAGACATGCATGCATGTAAGAATCTGCAATAAACTTTGAACATTCTTTTCACATTTCTACTAGGAAATTGCTGTAAGCATGTAATATGAAGTAGGTCTTATTTTGAAAACTAAATCCTAAAGATGTACTATCCAAGTATCGATGAACCTCAACAAATTTGATTTTTTTCCTTCTCCTAAGAGGTTTTTTAAACTGTGCCACTTCAACCCTAAGAAAAGAAGCCTATTGTCCCTCCATTACAGATCCTGATGGGGGCGACAGCCAGTCTCTGGAAATTGACTATTATCTGGCTGTAAATAAGCTGAAATTTGTTAAGTTACTATTACATAACTTAATGTAGGTCAATCTTTTCATACAATGTCTCATTCATCATCATCATCGGTTTTAAGGCCGTTGTCCAGTCTGTTCTGGGTTGGCCATTGATGGAGAATAACTTTTGAATTGCTAGAAAGCTAGCAATTTAAAAAAAAAAAAAAAAACTAAATTTTTGGGTTGAAACATGAAAATAGCCAGGACAGTACATCTTTAATACAAAAAGCATACAAGTATTACCCTAGATTTTCATAACATAACTCATTGAAGACTGCCAAGTCTAGTTGGTAAATTGACAATCTATGTTTTGAAAAGTTGTGAAAAATTTCAACCTAAATGCCAACGATGCTTTGCCGTTCATTTCAAACAAATCTTTAAATTTTACTCCTTACTGTTCAGCTTGTTGCTAACACTACAAATCTAAACCATTAAGTTCAACAAAAAGAAGGTAGGAAAAGCAAAATGCAACATAAATGCACTCTTTAAAATCCAGTTTCTACTTCACACGAGTTTGACAGCAAAGAATTATTTGAAATATACAATGAAATCACACGTCACAGTTTCCTTTGCTTTTATACTCGTGTTAAATACAAACTGCCCCTAATGCTGACTGATTTACAAGTCTGTTATAAAACACTTTTAAAATGACAAAGGGAGGGAATGAACAGTAACCCCCCCCCCCCCAAATGTGCCCCTTCCACATTTACTATATACAAACTGTACTTTGCTGACAGGGCTGTTTAGGCAATCAATCACCATGTACTTTGATGACTTACACTACCGCTTATTTTTGGTACTGGCATTATGATATTTCTTAATGCTAAAGTGGACTATAAAAACCAAAGCGTTCATAAAATAACCCATTTAAACTGCAACCCATGCAGTAGAACCACAATTCTGAGAGCAGCAGGCGATATTTTTCACTGAGGAATATAATGTTTTTAGCTGTGTGCTGCAGTGTTAAATGTTAACTATGGACAAAGTACAAGTAAAGAAGGCCCTAGAAATAACTCCTGGTTTTGAAATACTACTCAAGAGAAAAGATGCCAATATTTCGAAATGGAACAAGTTACATACACCATTTCTACAAAGCCAATTAATTTTTTTTTTCTTCAAAAATGTCAAATGTCTGTTTCAGGGAATCCTTTTGTAAAGAACAGTCTGGAGAAATCCAAAGCCTGCTTCATCATTATGAATTTACTGAGAATGGTTGCAAAGTGTTTAATGTCAAGAAAGGATTCAAGAGATCCTTAAAACCACCGCCCAAAGCATGGAATGGAATTGAAATTAACAAATTGTGGAAATCACAAATAATTGATTTTCTCATTTGTATACACCCAATAGAGTACCGAAGTGCGCAGCGTATTCTGTTTCACGCGCACAGCTTAAGTGAGTGAAGACATCAATGCGTAAACCAGAGTGAACCAGAACAACGACAGATGACGTCACACTTCGATATTCTATGTGCCGCGTATTCTGTTTCACGCGCACAGCTGAAGTGTGTGTGACATCAGCGTGCGAACCAGAGTGAACTAAAACAATGACAGCTGACGTCACACTTCGGTATTCTATGTGCCGCGTATTCTGTTTCACGCGCACAGCTGAAGTGTGTGTGACATCAGCGTGCGAACCAGAGTGAACTAAAACAATGACAGCTGACGTCACACTTCGGTATTCTATGTGCCGCGTATTCTGTTTCACGCGCACAGCTGAAGTGTGTGTGACATCAGCGTGCAAACCAGAGTGAACTAAAACAATGACAGCTGACATCACACTTCGGTATTCTATGTGCCGCGTATTCTGTTTCACGCGCACAGCTGAAGTGTGTGTGACATCAGCGTGCGAACTAGAGTGAACCAGAACAACGACAGATGACGTCACACTTCGGTATTCTATGTGCCGCGTATTGTGTTCCACGCGCACAGCTTAACTGTATGAAGACATCAGCGCGCGAACCATCGTGAGCCAGAACAACGACAGATGACGTCACACTTCGGTATTCTATGTGCCGCGTATTGTGTTCCACGCGCACAGCTTAACTGTATGAAGACATCAGCGCGCGAACTATAGTGAGCCAGAACAACGACAGATGACGTCACACTTCGGTATTCTATGTGCCGCGTATTGTGTTCCACGCGCACAGCTTAACTGTATGAAGACATCAGCGCGCGAACCATCGTGAGCCAGAACAACGACAGCTGACGTCACACTTCAGTATTCTTTGTGCCGCGTATTGTGTTCCACGCGCACAGCTTAAGTGTGTGAAAACATCAGCGCGCGAACCATAGTGAGCCAGAACAACGACAGATGACGTCACACTTCGGTATTCTATGTGCCGCGTATTGTGTTCCACGCGCACAGCTTAACTGTATGAAGACATCAGCGCGCGAACCATCGTGAGCCAGAACGACAGCTGACGTCACACTTCGATATTCAATGTACCGCGTATTGTGTTCCGAGCGCACAGCTTAACTGTATGAAGACATCAGCGTGCGAACCATAGTGAACCAGAACAACGACAGATGACGTCACACTTCGGTATTCTATGTGCCGCGTATTGTGTTCCACGCGCACAGCTTAACTGCATGAAGACATCAGCGTGCGAACCATAGTGAACCAGAACAACGACAGATGACGTCACACTTCGGTATTCTATGTGCCGCGTATTGTGTTCCACGCGCACAGCTTAACTGTATGAAGACATCAGCGCGCAAACCATCGTGAGCCAGAACAACGACAGCTGACGTCACACTTCGGTACTCTATCGGGCTTTCACATCTGTTGATTTCCACTCAAACTTGGAGTTGTGTTATTTTTTCTGCTGAAGCAGGAAAAAATTATCCACCCCATCTCTGATTAACAGGGTTAAACTGATCATTTCTGATGGCCTCTTGCAGAAAAAAAAGATACAACTTCAAAGTTTGATAACTACTCAATGTTGAGTAACCATGATACCGTCAAGTTTTGTCACCAAAAGCTGCAGACCAAACCAACATCAAGGTAGGAGAGAGTTACCGATCAGAGTCCATAGAACTTGAGACTACGATCCATACTGACGGAGGATAGGAACGTAGTATGCTGACCAAATCGAACCCCGGTAGTCATGTCAGTGTGATCTGTGGTTCAGGAGGCGAATGAGAAAATAAATGGAGGGAAGGAGGCAAATATAAATAAAGATGTTAGTTCTCAATGTGATGTACACTTCCTGCCTGTCATTTGCATTGACCAATTAGATCATGACTTGAGGTCAGCTGACCATGATAACTCTGTTGCAAGCACCGTGCTAAATGTATAAAAACCACAGAATGATGGGGCTGGGGCTAAATCCATTAAAGTCAAACTCTGCTCTTTTTGATTTACGTCAAGTACTAACCTGGTTCTTTATGTATACCGGTATACAGTATACCGGGTCATCTAACCACAACAGACCTTTTTGTTCCATATTAAAATGCTTCCATATGAGAACTTCTTTTCACAATTAACTGGTACTTTCTCAAGTAAATGGGGTGTACATAACAAATAGTGTGATGCATATCGATAATGACAGGGTGACTTTCTTTGATGTCAAAGAAAATGATGTAATTTCGATAATTTGTCAGTCACTTCACAGGGCCACTTTGTATTTGGCAGGTTACAAGTTGTACATTTAGACCACTAGCCACAAAGGTCAACCTGCTGAGACCTCTTTTGTTCAATATATTTATTTTTATTGAATAATATGGAAAATGTGTGTATCAAGCCAATAAAGCAAACAAAATAATGGATACCAGATTGACAGCCATCCAGTCCTGTTGAGTAAACACAGGTCAATACTATCATCAAACATTTTACAAAGTATGATAAATCTATTGATAATGTGAACGCAATTCTTACCCGAGAAGACCTTGAGTTCCTGCCACTGCTTACAGAGGTAGACTCTCAGGTCTGTGCCTGCCACAGCCAAATAGGTTCCACTCTGGTCAAAGGACAGTGACTTCACCTGGAAACAGAACAGCCAAATTATATACTTCCATCAATTAAAGCAAATTAAAAATCCATCAAGTAAAGGAATACCCAATATACTTTCCAACATTTCTAAACATATTCAACTCTATTCCTTAGGCAAGCACTTGCAGCAGCTTGAAACGGCACCTCCAACAGAGAGTTGATATTTCCGTATTCTAATTAATTCTGTCCCCCCCCCCCCCCAACTCGATGAAAGAGGACATAAAAACTGTCTAGTATGTGTAATGGCAGTAGGCACTGAGTCCATTATAGAGTATGAGGGTTAACCTGAATCTTCCCAAATCCTCCAAAATCCTCTTTGCAAAATGGAGGATTTTGCAGGATTGATGGTACATGGCAAAAATGTGTGGCTGATTTTGGAGAGTGCACTGGTTCAAGGTCTTGGGCGGACCTTGTGTTGTTAATGCTCAGCCATGCATAAATTTAGGCCTGGATTATGCTTGAAATCTTTTTCACTGCTCCAGGATGTCACTGGCTCGGCCTCAACTTATTGACAGCGACTGCTGGTGGGTGTTGCAGGACTGAGGCAGTGGTCAAGAAGCAACACAGGATTTGAGGCTGTATGTAACTTTAAGACAGAGGTAGTTGGAGGATTGTGCAGGATTGAGGTTGTGTCCTACCATAAATGCCTGGGGAAATATGGTTAATCTGTGAAAGAGTGGATAGGGGCAACAGAAAGGCATCATACCTCGTATCTATCGTCCAGGGTGATATTCTTGAAGTTCTTCAGCTTGCGTAAATCCCACAGCTTGACCACCGCGTCGTCAGCAGCCGTTGCCAGGTAGTAACCATTCTCAGAGAATGCCAGAGCGGTGATGGGTCCAGAGTGGCCAGGGAAGTTGGCCACGTTGGTCCCTTCTTTCAAATCCCAGATTTTGATGATGCTGCTGCCGGTACCCGTGCCGAAGATCAGACCATCAGGATGGAACTGGGCGCATGTCAGAGCTGGGAAAAAAGTCCAACAGGTTTTTAAATACATATCACCAAGCCTGTTCGGTATGACGATATTTCACGATATTTCGATTAAATTTTCATATCGGAAATCGTATCGATCTCATAAAAAAAAATCGGCACATCGTGAAATTCGATATGCCGAAAAATACCGCGATATTCTTTTGAGGTACCGCTTTTGTAACCAAAGTCAATCCCTCTCAGTTTCAAACCGTCGCTAAAGCGCTCCCATGAAAAACCGCAAACCACAAATTCACTGTTACCGCATTGTATGTACCGCGAGGTCTTACCTATTCAGGGGCGGAACCAACTGACTAACGTCACGTGTATTGGATTTTGCGTCTTCCACACTGCACGTGGTGCAGTACAAACACCACAATTTCACCCCACATACCAAGTGCCAAAATCGTAATCACGTGCGTGGAGTTAACCGAAGGGAAACAAAGTCTCTGACATTTCGCAAAGAAAATACGGTGCCAAATACATGTGCTTGAATTGTAGATTAGGACGTTGAGAAGTGAATGTTTCGTTTCGGCACGCGGCTAGAGGAGACCACGCCGAGCCCGCAAATTTTCTTTTTCCAGCACCAAACGACATCCGCATACGCACGTAAAGCGCCCTCTACGATACTTTTATGATACGTGGGCATTATATATTTATTAGGCCTAGTTTTCCAATTTTGAAGCGAGCAATGTGACAGCTCAGTCGATAATTTATTGTGTTTTATACCGCGAGGTTGCGGGTTCGAATCACGGTATTGCAGATGATTTTTTTTTTTTATTATTTTCTAACCTGAGGCTTTGGAGGATTTTATTAAAAAGGGAAATAAAGCCCGAATTTCTTATATTTCTTTTTTGATTTTCTTCTCATGTTTTTAGAAAAGTATAGTCCAAAACGCCATAGCGTATTGCGGATGTCGTACGCGTTTGGGAGAGAAAAAAAAAATTGCCGCTGGGCTGGGACGACTCCGCGCAGGCGAACTAGATCAAATTTTCCTGCACGTATTTTCCTGACTCGTTCCTTCTCTTCCGTGGTTGTGCCTGGGCACTTACACTTGCTTAGTGCCAAAACTGTCCCAGACTTATGAAATCTGTTCATATTTTCAGCAACAAAAAACGTCGAAAACCAACTGTTCAGTCGTGCCTTTTATTTCGTTCACAGAACAGAAAATGCGTCACAAGAAATTGGACTGATCCATTAATTTTTGTAAAGGGGTGCTTCACCCTCATTTTGGAGTTAACATCGTTTTTCGAAACAAATCTTTAGAAAAAAAAATATTTTGTTAGTTTGTAACGATGAAGAACTTTTTCTGAACCAGGAAATATTTCGGACTCCATTAAAAAATATTATTTGTAATTCTGAAAAGATGGAAATACTGGTAAATTGTTTTCAATGAAGCACACCCTTGCCGCAATGGTGTGGGCTGTACTATGAGTGCACGTGGGGATCATGTCAATGCGGTGTGCAATTGCGTGCTAGTGCTTCGTTCTTTCCTCGATATGGATTTCTATTTGCACATTTTTATCCAACATTTCAATGTAATTTTGTTTTCGATGTTTGAATGTGGAATTTATTTTCTACCTAAATTGGCAAAGTAAATGAGACTCTAGTCAAATAAACTTGACGATTTTGTTCAGGACATATTGGGTCTTTTTCACGGCAGTGGATCGTGACTTCGGTCAGGTTTTTTTTTTTTTTTTTTTTTTTTTTTTCCATTGTTCCATGAATGGAAAAATGACGTCATCACGATAATATCGCGATATCCGATATTTTTTTCACGATTTGCCGATTTAAAAATAAATGGATATCGAACAGGCTTACATATCACAGGGGTTATTTATACAAATCATAACCACTATCTTTTCACAAAAGTTTACTATGTTTAATTATTCCGTATGGGACTTGCTCTATTCCCTCTGTAGTGATGTGAAAAGTAATTATAAATATGCAAGGCAAGGGAACAGCTGCGTTATACAAGTGCATGCGCATGCACACGTGCGTGCGTGCGTTAAAGTAATTCGAGAATAATATTATGGAAAGGAATTCGTTTTTTGTTATTAAAAGAGTTTTTGGAAGCAGTTGGTGTTTGGTAGGGAAAGAGAAAGGATGTACACTGCAATTGTAGCAGAGCTGTGTAATAAAATCTGAAGACGTTTTGTAACATCTTACAACTGAAGTGTGATCACTGTTATTGGTACAAGACTAAATTGCCCTCCTCCACTTCACACGAAGTTTCCCGGGATTCGTTCCTGTTTCTGATGCTTTACACCTCATTTGTCTTTTATTCTTTCTATTAATAAATTTGACTTGTAGCTATCCCATGCACGCAAAGAGTCTGTAGCACCAGAGATTAATATCCCAGGGTTGGCTCCTTGACTCATAACTCCTACCTAACAGCAATGACTGCAAAACAGGTAGTGTGGAGTGAGGGGAGTGTGGCCTAGTGGTTAGGGTTCATAACTCATGATCAGAGGGGGCAGGGGTTCGAATCCAGCTGCTGGCCATATCTGGTGTCCTGGGGCAAGCCACTTCACCCCCACTTGCCTCTCTCCACCCATGGGTGTAAATGGGTACTGGCATTAGCTGGGGAGTAACCTGCGATGGACTAGCATCCCATCCAGGGGGAGTAGAAATATTCTCAGTCGTTTCATGCCACTGAAACCGGAGATAAATGCCGGCCTGATGGGCCACATTGGCTCGTGACAGACTTTACTTACTAGGCATGAATTATTATTTGCATTCCATTGGAAGGGTTTTCCATGGAATTTTGTTGAAGTTTTGTAATGGAGGTAAACATGATTGAAGTAGTGCGAAATAACTGGTCCTTTGATGGCTGATTTTGATTACCATCTTCCACTTGCAGTTGGGAGATGGTAAAATCAGCCAGCACCTCAGGGCTAGTAGGGTCACACTACCTACAACCCAACCGTGTTGTATTTTATACAATCTGTCAATAAATTTACCAAACTGTAGTTAAGGAAGGAAAAAAACGGCTCCACATTTGGTTTAAAGGACACGAGGACAAATCCTTGCTATTTCCTATTAAGCCATCTCGTCCATAAAAACAAAAAATGCTTACCATGCCCAATGGAATCATCAGTAACCTTAGTCAGCACGCGACCGCTTGCGATGTCGGAGAACGCCCAGTGCTGATCCTCGGAGCAACTCAGTAGGTAGTCGCCCGTAGCGTGGAGACTCAGCCCGGTGACCGGTGCATTGTGGGCACGGATGACTTGCTGGCAGGAAGCATTGCCAACGAACCAGATGCGGATGGTGGTGTCCGGGGAGGAGCTGAACACAATTTCCTGTGGAGTGGGGGAGGGGAAATGTCAAGGTAAACAATTAATCATGATAGTTGACCAAAACAAGAAAGACTTCTTCCTAGTGTCTGATAAGAAAAGTAGAATAGGTCAGTGTCGTATTCAAGTTTATAACACCTCACCCACAGATTCTGTGTCTTGATTGGCCGAGAGCGAGTCACATGTTACTTTCTAATTTTGCTATCTTTCTGTGCACGGCCAAAAGTACTATGCGCATAGCAACCAAAGTACTATACCATTAGCAACCAAAGTACTATTTCCACGGCACGGTATTTGTGTGCAAATGCATGCTGGTGTGCGCGTTGCGTGTTGTGCGTAGCGCGTATTATTCCAAAGAGAGCGCGCCGCAGACTTGGGTTCAAACATTTCGTGAAGGGTTAGTTTTTAAGAGAGAAATACATTTTCCACCAATTTTGTATTGAAATTGAAGTTTATTTCAACTGTGTTCAGATTTAAATCATGTAAAATATTAAAATCAAGCAGAATCTGTGGGTGAAGTGTTATAAAACAAATATTGAATGCTTTATCTCGTGGTGAAGTAAAACTAGCCTCCCTCGGTGATCCATGGACCATTCTATTTTCCCGAGGCGAATGTCCATGAATCACCTCGGGAGGCTAGTTTTACTACACCACTCGAAGCATTCAATATTTGTATACTATCACAAATCTTCAAAAGTCCATCATAAGTCTTCCCGTAAAGTCAAGTCACAAGCTTTTCAGATGAGCTGTGACAAAAGAACTCCTTGGTTATTGTTCATTCCCTGTTACTTGTGACCAGACTTGTGAACGGACTAGCAAATGTACTTCTGACTGGACGAGAGATTTACTTGACTGCAACACTGGAAGGGGTATTTTCATTGAACACTGCACTCAATTCGACGAAAGCCAAAACCAGAAACGAATATATTTAATTTTATCATGATTTTGACAGACAATCAAACAATCGATCTTCTTTCCCTGCCATGCCTTTTACACAGGCTTATCACCAACAGTCAGATCATATTTCAAGCAAGTACTGTGACAAGTCAAATTCAGTCAACAGACAAAAGCAAGTAACTGGTAGGTACAGCTGGCTTATCAATCACCTACTGTCAAGGCAAACCTGTATCAAGTCACAGCCAGTCAATCCTGCTTTATGTGGACAGCGAGCACTCAACTGTTCACAACAGTCACTTAACTGATTTTGACTGGATGGACAGCTTGGTCCCGTATGTCAGCTACAGTAGGAGGGTCAATGTGTCTTTTAACATTTATCCCGTAATATTTACCTACATTACTTATGCAAGAGCTTTTAGTTAGTCACAGAAATGTTGTGTATCTTTTTCTACCGGTGTCTACCTGATAACACGGCTGCTAACCACTTACCTCTGTGGGGTGATAGATGACATTGGTGACCTTCTTGCTGTGACCTTTCATGACGGCAGTCACCTGCTCCGTGTCCTTGTTGAAAACAACAACTGACTTATCAGCACCACCTAAGGAAAAAAGAACTACCTGTCAAAATGTTCATTTTAGGATAGTTGTCAATTGCTCTATTGAGTCTTGCATCTACAAGGTCCCCAAATCTCATCCTTATACCAGTGTTGTAGTCAAGTCCACCACATCCGAGTCAGAGTCCTTCCAATCTGAGGACAAGCTTGAGTCTTCTAAATCTGAGTCAAACACCGAGTCCTTTACTCTGAGTCTGAGTCCGTCAAAAAGTGGACTCGAGTATGGAGTCCTACAACACTGCCTTGTACATCTCATATGAGACTCGTTATCAGGGCAATTTCTAAACTCACCTGTCAACACCTTAGATGTATCTGTGGCCTGGAGATCCATGGACAAAATACCTGGCACACTGGCGCTATGCAGACCCTGGCATAAAAACGAAAGAAAATAAATAAATAAATAAAGAAACCAGTTTTGAAGTGCTTCTTCAACTGCATCAATGCAAACTTGTGGTGGCTCATGATATTCTTAATCACTCCATCTTATCTTTGTTCCGAATGTTAATCCCTGGCGGTTGTGTTGCGCTCTTAATTTGAGTTTCAGAGTAAAAACATTTCACTTGTTAACGAGATGGGCTTGCAGGACTTGATATACCTGTGAGACCACTGGACATAATCCAGCGATATCAGCATTGGAAAAGTGCTTTCTTGTGAAAACTACACGACTGATCTACTGGTTTACACAATAATATCTTTTGACTGCAGCAAGGTCCACTGCTCCATGTAACAAACAATTTCTAATGCCAATGAACACTAAAAATGTCCCTTTACATCACTTTACTTTAAAAAAAAAAACCACTATATTTGTGTCTTAGAGGCCATTTCCTGTGAACTCTATGCACAAGCACCCCCTCAACTAGGGCTATGCATCGGAACTGTGTACCCAAGTACCCAACGGTTAATGTCAGAAACCAGTTGCAGATTATGGGACCAGATACCAGTAGCCAAAGTTGCAAATTACTAAGTAACTTCTCAGCAAATGAAAAAGAAAGGTCTTGAATGTCATTTGTGGGGAATTTTCAAAATGAAAACAAAACGTATTTCACGTTTATGACGCTAAAAAAAGTTGCAGTGTACATCGTAACTACACTGTACATACTTGGATCTTACTGTATGAACCTATATGACCTTTTTGAACAGTCTGAACAGCACTTCAGATATTTGAATGTTGGGGTTGGGTTTCTTTAAAGGGAATATACATCATTTGCTTTTGCTGTAATTTTCAGAAATGGATGAAATTGGGGGGTTGGAAACATATAGCAAATATAGTTACACTGACTTTTTTGAGGTTTTGGGTTCGAAAATGCTATAAAAACCAAGAAAAACGATCATTTTCCTGTAGTCTGGTTCCCTGACTCCATTTAAGAAGAAACAGAGTAGTTTACAAACATTGGGGAATTGTAAGGTCAGGGAACCAGTCTAGCTGGCTCGTACCCGTTCATAGGTTTGTAATCGATTGCAAACAAGTGCGATGGTCAATTGGGGCCAGTATTTGAAAAAAAAAGCCAGTTGTTTCCAACGCTGATCGGCCGATCAGCGTTGGAAATTGATACAAAAATAGCACTTTTCTTGAAAATGACAGTATACCAGGTGCCATGATTTTACAGGATGCTTTAGACTGTCATTCACTAACAGTCCAGCAAGGTATTTCAAAATGATTTGGTAGATTTATTTTTTGATGTTTGCAAATGTTGTATTTTCCCTTTAACCGATACCTGAGTACACATGTTTATTTTTTTCAATTGGGTACCCGGTTCCTGTACTACCCGTAAATGCACACCCCTACCCAGGGGAGAGTTGGGGGAGACCACTGGGAGTGACATTCAAATACTTGATTCTCACATGAAGACGTTACAGGTTGTGTACCTTCACAGCAGCTCTAACGAAGAGGTAAAAATCACCATTTCCTGTTCACACACAGAGTCCATTGAGTTTTCATACTTACAGGATGGGAGGACAGGGTTCTGAAGGACCTGATGTCATCTGGCGGCATGAGCTCGTCAGGAACTTTCTTGCCACGACGTTTACGCTCTGCAGTCAACAGGTTGGCCTTCTCTTGTAGCTACGAGTAAAACAAGCAGAAAATAGGAATGCTTCTTCGATAATAAAACCCATTTACTGCAATGTGCACAGGCATTTGTGTTTGCTGTTAGAAACAGAATTTTTCCTGGTTATCTTAAATCACATAATAATACTAATACTGGAGTCTTGTATAGCGCACGTATCTACCAACAATTAGGTACTTAAGGCGCTGGTAATTATGTCTATTATCAAAGACTGGTAAATGAAGTTTATGAGAAAGATGAGACCCATTATGTTGAATATTAAAATTATAACACAAGAATATGGCATTTATTAAACCACAGAATATTATGTACCTTATGTATCGAAAAGCAACTATTAAATATTACTGTGGGTAGGTTCCCTTTTTTTTAATTGAAGGAGGAACCTCAAGTTCCGTTTCACTCTCTGGAATCCATCGTGGAAGTGACAAAATAGAAATGGAAGCGACAAAATAAAATATCTTTTACACAGTGATGACTATTTTGGCCCCCTTGGTATCCTTGAGTTGCAGGATGGAGAGAATAACAGGTTATAAAATGATTAAGGGGGAGTTTGGCCAAGTGGTTAGGGTTCATGACTCATGATCAAAGGGTCAGGGTTCAAATCCAGCTGCTGGCCATATGTTGTGTCCTTGGGCAAGCCACTTCACCCCACTTGCCTCTCTCCACCCAGGAGTATAAATGGGTACCAGCATTAGCTGGGGAGTAACCTGCAAAAGACTAGCATCCCATCCAGCGCATAAAGTGCACTAAAGACTTCATTGCCAGTCTATATGTGTATAATATACCACACTACGTCGGGTGCCTGGCAGAAGGGCATATGAGCATTCTGACGCAAAAATAATTTTCAAGCAAATTGCATTGAAAGGTTCTACTGCTCCCCCGCGCGCATTATGTATCCAATGTTCTCCCACACGTAACATAAATCGTATGAATTTGAAATTTGTCACACGTTTGAATCATAAGTTTTGGATCAACTTGTATTAGTTTCTGACAAAAATGTTTAAATTTCATTAAAATAGAGGCAGTTTTCTGCATATGTCCTTTTGCTGGGAACATTTTGGTCATTACGCGCTATTGCGTAAGGGCATATGCACATATGCCCTTCTGCCGGGCACATTACTCCATGATGATCCATACAAAGATACGGTCCTGAGAAAGCTTAGGTCGCTTTCAGAAGGAACGGTTGGGGCTGTAGAAGAACGAATTAGTTAATTCGAAGCGCTTACCTTCTGTATAATGTCCTCAGTCATTGCTGCTGGCCCAGGCTCAGCAGCCTCCATGGGTTCATGTCTGACCACGCCCTGGGCGGCACCTGCAGGTAGGGCAGCAATCTGGGCGGGGACCATGCCTGGGGCAGCCTGGGGCTTCAAAGTAGCCAAGGCTAAAATGAAAAGAAACATTTTTTTTAAGGTTTGTTCAGAACTACAAGAACACCACACCAGGGGTTGAGACTGAGGGAAAATGAAATAATCAGGCATGCAACTTGGAGGATACAAAAACCGAGGAAATTCAAAGCTTGACAAGACTTTGTTCAGTGTTTTTCAATTTTTATGGCATAAGTGTGAAGTGAAAATGAGGAAGTCAGCTGATCCGAGGAAAAGTTGCATGCCTGAATAATGCAATTTTCAGTGGAGGGTTATGAGAAGAGCAATGAAGTACCTGTTTATATTTTCCTCCAGACACCCCTTAAATACCCACTGCTTTTGTTATAAACCTCAGGAATTCCTGACTTTCAAAAGGGACTGTTTAAAAATCTTAAAAACCCGGAAAATCAGAACAAATCTCAATCTTGTATGCAAGGAGCATTAAAATACATACGCTCACAGAAAAACACAGATTTTTGCTGATGCCTATCTGATGAGCCAATAACCTTTTCAGAGAATGAGCAAAGAATAAGGATCTTACATATATTCGAACAGGGAACTTCCTAATAATCCTAGGTTTTCCTGTAGCCCTACCTGTGGAATGTATGTTCTTCCAATAGAAATATTTGGAAAAGGAACAGTAACATTCTGAGTTTTTGAGACCTTCTCAAAATTTCCATTGTCAGTCATCCCTGTGAATACGCATTCTCTTGCTGCCTACTAAATAGGGCTCTAATAACAAGGCCAACATCTACAATCCTGGTCAAATCTCGCTGGGCCTCCAACCCCCCAGCCCCCGTTCAATGTTGTCTCTCATTGCGCGATGTGTGCTCCATCAGCTGGAGAGAACAACATTGACCAAGGGAGCGGGGGATAGGGTTATTTCCAAGTGTCCCAACCATTTTGGCCAGGATTGTAGGTACCAGAAAGTCAGCGTCGCCATTGTAGTAGGCACAGATCTTGTAGCGTACCACGCAGCAGGTAGTAGGCAGGCCTTCAAAGCTGTGATGGATGACAAAAACTGTGAAAAAAACGCCGAGCCCCAACCCAGTGCTGGGTCAGCATGATGATGACAACCATAGTGAACATTATGTCACTTGATAAAGAGTATGTGGCTATTTTACGTGAGAATAAGCCATACTCTCTAGTTTACAATGCATGATGTAGTTTTTAACAAACGCTTTCTTACTGCAACGGCGGCAGATCATGGGGAAAACAGATGGTCCCATGGTACTTTGAGGTCATACGATCGGAACCTATAATGATGGTAGAAATACCAACCTTCACGTGCAGCAGTGACCTCCTTGGTGAGTCTTGCAATGACACGGCAGGCCGCGTCGTGCTGGTACAGGGCGTGGGACAGCTCCTGCCGAGCCGTCTGCAACTGCTGGCGCAAGGTGAAGCTGTGCAGCATGCAAGCATCCCACTCATCCTGCAGTAACTTCAAGATGGCAGGGATGCTGGTGGCTGTCGGGGGGCGTGGCTTGACCAAGGGGCTCACTGAGTGGACAAATTTAAACAACAATGATCAATGCCAGTTGTGTGGGGATGATTATCCCCATTCAAATGACTTTCAAAACCTGAAAAATTCGGATTGGTTTTAATGTTTAGATTCACTGAATGTTGTAATTTTATTTGGCCTCAGCCATGCATAAATATAGGCCTGGTTATGCTTGAAAACCTCCGTACTGCTCCAGGATGTCACTGGCCAACACATTGACAGTCACTGCTGCAGGATTTTGCAGGTTTCAGGCAGTGGTCACCCCTCTACGGACCATGTTCAAGAAATAATGGAGGAGTTTGCAGGATTGAGGCTTTATGCTATTTTTCCATGAGGCCAATTGGAGGATTTGGCAGGATTGGGACTACATCCTAGCAAAAAGGCCTAGGGAGTTAGGGTTAATTAAAGAAAAACAAAGATAATCCAACTAAAACATTTCTCTGAGAACCAGGTAACAGTATTATTTAATAAAGCTTTACCTTTGATATCCACCAGCTGGTCCTCTGACAGCACCTCCCCGTTGATTGGATCAACGCCATTCTCTGCGATGAACTTCTCAATGAGTCGACGCTCAAAGACATGGTTTGACACCGTCGACAAAACTGGGTGCTCAGGTACCTCGTGGCAGACTGTAATAAACAGAAGAAATGACCCTGATCAGCATTTTCTCGGGCACCTTATTCAGAAGTTACAAAATAGGATGTAGGATTTGATTAACCCTAGCCCCCTTGTACATTCTCGTTGTCTTGCTTTCCGCGACAACGCACCAGACGAAAATTGAACTCACTTGTGGCGCCTGAAAGTGGTGTGGTACCCACATAAATCGCGCGCGCAGATTTTTTACGATGTCATCACGTGATGCATACATTTACATAGGGTAGACATCCTGAATTTCGGCACGTCCCGAAATTCGGCACCCCTATGTAAATAGTGAACTGGCCCGCCAACGCGGTCACGTGACCAGCCATGTTGCTATCGGGTGACAAGACGAACTCCCGCCCTTGGGTTTCAACCAGAAATAATGGAAACTTGAGACGCATTCTTGCCAAAAAAATTGGGATTAAAAATCTCTCCATAAAAGGCGAACTATTTTTTCAAGTTTTTAGGATTCCTTGTAAGATGGGGTTTAAGATGAAAAAGATGATTGCAGCCATTTTTTCATGTCAAAGTGGTTAAAATGGAAGTTTTTTCTGACGTTGGTGATGGTTTGTGCCGCTGAGAGTGGAAGATCGTCTGTACAAAGTGCAGGTGTGTAGTTTTGTGGGGGATGCCGAACTTACGAGCAGGGGTCAGAAAGTGACCCTAATTTCGGCATGTGAAAACAACTCACAAAATCAATATTAGCTTGATAACCATTTCGAATTTTGTTGGGGACATAACTAATATAGGGCAAAAATACAACTTTTACGGGCGTAAAAATATAAACCTACGAAACTAAACGTGTGTGCAACGCAACTTTTTCCCCACGCGCTGAAACATGGTGCCGCCCATTGCAGAAGCATGTGACTGCACGCAGTGCCGAACTTAGGCACAGGGTGCCGAATTTCCGGACAACATGAACGTCTTTCAAAGTCACGTGACATTACCAAAGCAGGTTCAGGATCGATTAAGTTTTGGTATCGCAACATGCGCTATGCCCACATGCTGTGTGTCGACGGGAGTACCGGGTAAATCGGTACTGCATATGTCGAAAAATAATAATCGACTCTTATGGTTCCGAAATTCAGGACGTCTACCCTAATTAGCGAAACAAAATGGACTACAGCCGCTGGAACTAGCGTTTTTTTACGGACAAGCCATGGAAATCGTCAAGATTTTTCACATTTTCTTTTTGTGGTCTGTTTCAAGTCGATCATTAGGCTTCGTAAATGACTGCTGAATGTATGAGGTATGTAAATGAACTCTGGGGTGGGATATTCATGATATTAGAGGTGAAAATGAACAATTTTTGAGAGGCCATTTTTTTAGGGTCTCTTGCTACCACGTTCTAACGAACAGGTTATGCCTCCAGCGTTACATGTGAATGAAAATGGAGCATGTCAGCTGGAGTTACTCAAGCTAGGGCTAAGCCACGACTAGCCCCACTAGTGTGGCCGTCGGTATGCTGCGCTGAACCTCTGGCCACACACCGTGGTACCACGCGCTACTGAGGACGAAGTTTTCATAAAATCTGCGGTCCGTTTCTTACATTCTAAGTTTCTTACTTTCTTATGGTTGTATTCTATGATGTCTCACCTATCACTTCTGGGATGCTTAGGTCTAATGATGTTCCATTTTTCGAGATATTCTTCAATCTTTCTGGAGCCCATATGCACTCGTGAAACGTCTGGTGATGGCAGCCATTTTGAATGTGACAAGAGATGACCTCAAGCTGTGACGTCGCGTTTATGCAAATTGCTTGTCGAGCGTGCGAGGGCGCGAGTTGCAAATGCGACGGCTGTTTCCTGTGCCATAGATCCTGAATAGAGATCGGTGCACGTGGCCCCCTGAGGATAAATGCATGGTACAGGAAACAGCCGTTGCATTTGCAACTCGCGCCCTCGCGCGCTCGACAAGCAATTTGCATAAACGCGACGTCACAGCTTGAGGTCATCTCTTGTCACATTCAAAATGGCTGCCATCACCAGACGTTTCACGAGTGCATATGGGCTCCAGAAAGATTGAAGAATATCTCGGAAAATGGAACATCATTAGACCTAAGCATCCCAGAAGTGATAGGTGAGACATCATAGAATACAACCATAAGAAAGTAAGAAACTTAGAATGTAAGAAACGGACCGCAGATTTTATGAAAACTTCGTCCTCAGTAGCGCGCGGTACCACGGTGTGTGGCCAGAGGTTCAGCGCAGCATACCGACGGCCACACTAGTGGGGCTAAGCCACGACGTGGGTTTTTTTTAAGTGTCGGAAAAACAGGTTTTGCCGTGATGTTACACGGTTAACCACGCTGCATTTCACTGCCATGCCACGCGTGGTCAACTTCGGCATTTATTTCAAGCAAGAGCGAGGGTACACATCAAGAAACTGTTACTGAGACTAATTCACTAAACATTATTTAAACAGATTGCATAGTTTGACATCCAACAAAACAAATGCTATGGCCCAAAACAGCAATATTTTTAACGGAGGATGAATACTTACTTGAACAAACGAGCGCCATGTTGCTTCAAATGGACCTTTTAATTTCTAACTTATAGTTGGTGTAACATCAATAATTATTGCACAGTGCACACAATGAAGGAATTCATAATAACAGATATATTTGCTTATTATTCTATCAGAGGAATTTGGTATTAACCCTGTATTTATTTCATTTCTCGAAAAACAAGAATCAATGACAGTGATACAATGAATCTTCAACTACATGCTCATTAAGAATAGCACAGTGGAGCAGGCGTGCTTACGATAACCGATAAATGCCAAACAACCAAACTTAATTACACGGTAAGGCCGGACGGGATCGTTGACAGGGATACGTTACATAAACAGATTGAAATTATGTATGGATCAGAAAAACTTTGTAGGCCTAATTGCAGTCCACTTCGTGCAAACTAATTAGTATCGTCAACAATGAACACATTGCGCTGGTGACGGCTACCTACCGCAAAAGCGGATCCAAGGGGGTGGGGGGGGGGGCATGTCCCCACCCCCCCCCCAAAAAAAACCCGAAACCCATTTTTTTATGTGACGTCGCAATAAAGGCAGTGCACCACCTTCTTTTCCTTAAAAAAACATTGGTTAAAGTGATCAGAAATTGCCTCAGATCGCACAACAGAGCATCTAGAATCCAAAACATTTTCGGGGGACCAAACATTTTTTTGCCCCCCCCCCAAATTGTGTTCTGGATCCACCCTTGACCTACAGGTACGGTCTCATTTTTTTATTTGGGTCATTGAGGAGGCGTGACGTGACATCGATGGCCAATCTCCGTGGCGTATGTAACTAACCCCCCCCCCCCCGCCCCCATTCGAGGCACGTGCGCCTTCGTTGTGCCCTCGAATCTCCACTCGATTAGAAGGCGGAGAAATTATAAGCAAATATTCTCAAGTCTCCCCCCCCCCCTTTGTAAATAAAAAAAAAAACCAATAGGGGGCCTAAGCGCAGTAATCAAAAATATTGAAATTCCGTTCGTCACCTCTGACAGCAAATAAACCCAGTCACAATAAACGTCACAAAATGTATTTTTTAATATTTTCTCCCTTTAATTCACCGCAGGTTTGACAGTTACCAAACGTTCTGGGTATAGCAGCCGACATTGTATTGATCATTATTTGCATAACATTAAATCAAACAGCGATACACACCATGACCTTATATAATAGGCCCATAGCAATTAAAACAAAAACCCAATCTGAAAACGTAAATAAAATCGAAACGTGATACAAAGGTACAAGGAAAATCACATATATGTATATAACATAAATTGTGCAATCGTATACGACTCTGATTCGCATTCTTTCTGAACATAAAACTAATGTACAAGAAATGTCATATAAAATGTTCCCAAGTTTTTAGAATGATGATTTCTTTTTTTAAGAATGGATGCGGTAATGATATATATGGTATTAATTTAAAAGAAAAACAGTTTAATAAGAACCAACTCCACTATCACTCATGGAACCTTTCCTCCGCGCGAGTTGATTCGTCATCTACTAGTTTACTAATAGGTAAACTGTTTGGAACATGTTACTTTAACGAGAAGGTAACTGCAATGGTCAATTTCTTCAACCATTCTTCAACCATTACGTTTTCGCTGTTAGCCCAGCTTCCATTCTGAACTAACGATTTAATCAAATGTTCATGTCATATTATAAACAAATAAAACATTGTAAACAAAATAATAAAAAGAGCCAAGGCTGTAAACATAAGCAGTTTTAATTTTATCCTGTGTAAATAAAACTACACTTAACAAAATTAAGCTTGATAATATTTCGGGAGGCTCGCGCGCAGCTGCGAACTTTTAAAGCTGAATTGCGAAGGACGCGGCCACAACGTAGTCGAGCAGCAGGCATGTAAAGGCGCCTTTGGCAGCCAGCTGTACGACCCATGTAAGACCATGAGGCATAGCCACAGACCTAAAATTTTTGATTTTTTCGTAGGGAGGAAAATCGGAGGGCCCGGAGAAAAACCTTTGTGGCACCGGAGAGAACTAACGTATGAAGCCCGGGAAGGGACAGGGTAGATTTTTTTTTGTAAAAATTTGCTAATTTGTTCGCACGAATTGCTAACTCGTTCCCACGAATTACTAATTCGTTCGCACGAATTGCTAACTCGTTAGCACAAATTGCTATTTCGTTCGCACGAATTGCTATTTGTGATTTGCATCATATTGCTACATTTGGACAAATTTAACCGTACCGCTAGAAATGCATAGGAAGATTGCCAACTTGATGATGAGGAGTCTCAATTGGCAAGAATCCAAAAATGGATATTGTTGACGAATCCTGTTCCCATTGACACTTCCTATTTTGTTACGCAGTGATTACTTCGGCATAATATATGCAGTTATCATAATACACAAGCATATAAAACATATGAATATGTTGCAATATAAGAGAAACAAAATAAAACCATCCGTTTACAATATACCACGAATGGATACATTACAATGAAGACAATGAAGCCATCCGTTTACAATATATCACGTATGAATACCATTGAATAAAGACAATCAAATATAACCATCCGTTTACAATATACCTACCACGTATGGATACATTACAATAAAGACAACCAAATGAAGCACCCGTTTACAATATCACGTATGAATACCATTGAGCAAAGACAATAAAATAAAACCATACGTTTACAATATACCCTCATACCGTAGACTTAATATACACAAACACTCAACATTTTGCTGATTGTAATCTAAAATGCAAACCTAGCTTTTTAAACCATTTAAAATGTTTGTATAACAGGCGAAGCCATTATAGTACAGATAAGCTTTATCAGCAAAGGAATATACGAAATTTACTAAACTTTACCAGTATGCCATTTACAGGCACTTGTTACGTGTTATACCAAAACTGTGATCAGAGCTAACAAAGAGAGCATGCAGTAAAGTCTAAATTCCCTCAACCTCTCTTTAACTTGCTTCTGCTTCTACTCTAAGGAATTACAAAGATGGGGTTACAGCTTGGTAAGAACTTTAAGATGATTGTAAAAGACCTTTCATACTACGGGGTGAAGTCCTGACAGTCTACTTTTCTCTCTAACTCTTGGAATCAGAATTGGGTGTGCTCTTCCTCAACAAAAACATCACCATCAGCCTCCTCATCAACAGCCTCATCAACAAGCGTTGCTGCATGAAAAACAAAAGAACCCGTAACTGATATAGGATAAGATACATTTATTTCGATGCTGCATAAAGGATGATACATAAAGTTATATATTCAAAATAACAGTACATAGACATATTTACAATAGTGAACATTAAAGGGAAAATACAACATTTGCAAACATCAAAAAATAAAACTACCAAATCATTTTGAAATACCTTGCTGGACTGTTAGTGAATGACAGTGTAAAGCATCCTGTAAAATCATGGCACCTGGTATACTGTCATTTTCAAGAAAAGTGGTATTTTTGTATCAATTTCCAACGCTGATCGGCCGATCAGCGTTGGAAAAAACTGGCTTTTTTTCAAATACTGGCCCCAATTGACCATCGCACTTGTTTGCAATCGATTACACACCTATGAACGGGTACAAGCCAGCTAGACTGGTTCCCTGACCTTACAATTCCCCAATGTATGTAAACTGCTCTGTTTCTTCTTAAATGGAGTCAGGGAACCAGACTACAGGAAAATGATTGTTTTTCTTGGTTTTTATGGCATTTTTTAACCCAAAACCTAAAAAAAAGTCAGTGTAAATATATTTGCTATATATTTCCAACCCCCCAATTCCATCCATTTCTGAAAATTACAGCAAAAGCAAATGATGTATATTCCCTTTAACTAAATGGCAGTAGGTCCGGGGTGAAGCATCAACTTTTGTTCCCCAGCCTATGGACAAACAGTCAAGTGAAAGACATACATGAAAAGACAGAGCACAGACACCGGTGTAAGACAGTAATCAAGGCCGTTACTATCCTTATTACATTGTTGTAGTAAGCAAATGATTTTTTTTTTTAGTTTTCTAGCAAAAATAGAGAGAGTGGGTGATGATTTAAAAGAGTCATCAAGACCATTCCAATATAGAGTGCCGCGTTGGACAACACTATTTTTGGACAATGAAGTTTTACTATAATTAACATACAGATTTTTCCTAGTAGTACTGCGGGTAATATCGGAATGAAAATGTTTGAAGTAAGTGTAAAACAGGGGTTAAAACAAGCAGGTAATGCATGATTCATAATATTTATACATACATTTCCCAAGTTAAGATGATACAGGTCAGTGAATTTTATACTGAGAAACAGTTCATAACATAAAGAACCTCAGACTTGTGGAAAGGTCAGGCGGAAAGTTAGATCGGTAATCAGAAACCACATTTCATCAGTTCATCCCTGCATGAAGCACAATATGATCCCTGTATTGTGTATTTTAAAGACGAAGTCCAAAAAGGCACATTAAAACAACATTTTAAAACAATCAGATTGTCAAAAACGTTTAAAAGTAGCACCAACAAAACAGTAATTAAAGTGGGGGAACCTTTGCATCAAAGAAAGCTAAGTAGAGAAAAATGTAGAAACCTTTTCTTGTTAAAGACCAATATTCAATCATGACCTACCTCCAGCATTTGCAAACACAGGATATTCCACTTCCACATCTTGATATTTCTTACCACTGTCATTTTCATATACAGTGTCTTCCACCTCCATAGCTAGAACTTTCTTGACATCATCCTTTCCATACAAATTGTCTTCCATTTCCACATCTTTGACTCTCTTCAGACCGGTGTCCATGTCCTCCTTTTTCTTAGTCAGGGCGTCCACTTTTCCCATGAACATGAACACCAGAATGATGGTAGCATCTGCTGTCAGACCGATGGGGATTGCCGGGATGCCAAACTCAGGGTCAAGTAAGTTGAGAACACAGGCCCAGGTAATCAGAATCAAGATGCTGAAGAGACTACTGACTAAGATGGACTTGCCCTCATGGTGGGCATGAGAGGAATCCAGAGCACCAAAGGAGGAGAGGAATGTAACAAGGACCAGCAAGTAGGCATACATCATGAAGATGGTCAGATCGATGTTAGTGATGCCGCATGTTGGCAGTGAAACGGTCCCACAGGCATCCAGGGGTCCGCCGATGGCATCAGGAGGAATCAGGACCAGCCACTCCACCACCAAGAAAGCCTCAGGAAGGAGGAAGGCCAGAAACAAGAGAGACTGGGACCAGGAACCGGCAAAGTTCAAATCAACACCTGGCTGTTTACGTGCGAATCGATTAGCCCGAATGCTCTTGACAAGCAACGCAGCATACACCACGCAGTATACAAAACTCACACCAAAACGACGGATGCCACAAATGGCTGGATTGGCCTCGAACATGAATGCCACATTCAGGAGGTACATCAGGATAATCCCAAAGAGAAGCCACATGCTGAGACTGAAAGATGCACTCTGAACCACATAGCTGTGACGTTTGCTGAGAAACAAGATGCCTATCAAAAGTGCCAACACTCCACATAGACCTGAAACGGCTAGGATGACAGTTGACCATATGCCATAATCTATCCACTTCCAGACATACATGTACACCTGTACTGGGTCACCTCCTTCAGCCACGACAATCGGACCACAAGAACAGCCAGATGGACCTCTTTGAGCAGCAAGCTCGGCTACTATCTGGAGGGCAAGATCGTTGTTTTGCCATTTGCCGACCTACAACAATAAAAAAAATAAACCACGAAATGTCGAGGTTGTCAGAAAACCTTTGATGATTTTAAAATATTAGAGATTTATAACGCCAAACAAGAATGATGAAAAATAGATATTAATGAAAAAATAGCACCCAAACAATTTTTGGCAAAGATTAAGCAGCCTGTTCAAAGTATAAAATATTTCTCAATATACATTATCTGCTTAAACGGACTTTATAAAGAGCATCTCAAATACGTTTATTTTTCAGATAAGGCTTTTTAGTCTTTAATGAAGCACCTGTATTTTGCTTACAATTAGGAACTGCCCATGCTGTCCATCATACTGGTAGTTTTTGATGCTGTAAGTGGCAGGACCACTGCGTTCGTCAAACGAGAAGGGGTTTCCACCGGCCCCAGACTCCACTGTCACACGACGTATAGCATCTGCCCTTTCTTCTGGAGATGAATCAAGAAAACTTTCACACAGTTCATCATTGGAGAAGCCACACTTTGAGTCATGGAGCAAGTTGGCACCGTGAGCAGCTACATACAATGCATTGACCAGAGGAGAGATTTCTCCAGACAGCTTCTGGAGAGATTCTTGGATTTGATTTCCAAACTGGCAGTTGGATGAACTAGGACAGATATCTTGGAGATAATCTCTGAGATAAGGGTTCCTTGCACTTGCAGCGTCTAGGAGGTCCGAGTCTGCGAAGTAGTCCTGTATTTCTGGAAGGTCTGGTCTTTCTTTGGTCACCAGCAACATTCCTTTGGCTGAGCTTTCTAGACCAGAAACAAGATTTGGAGAGTCCCACGAGTCAGTTCCCACCCACACAAACCTCTTGCTGAGCTTAAAGTGATCAGCATACAAGAGGCTTCTAGCATCTTCTTCATTGACAAAGGCAACGATGACATTCAGAGAGTCGTCGCTACTGAAATCATTCATGATCTCTTGGAAGTCCGTGGTATCGTTAAGGTAGTGCTGAGCTCCTAGGCAAATACCAGCCACCTGGGCAGCCGTTTGGAATTCCTGACTGTTGGCTATGCCGTATGGAGTCATAGAGTGTACAACTCCTACATACTTCCAGTCAAATTCCTCCAAGATCCCAATGATGGCGGCAACCTCTTTGGTGTATGGAGCAGATGTGGCCAACACAAGGGGATCGTCATTGACGTTAGGACTCAGGGCACTGTAGCTTATCTGCAAAAATTCAAATCATTACACCACATCATAAAGGAATCACTTGCTTTCTTTAACACTTCACTCCCAACCTCCTCCGATCCTTTTAATTTGAAAAGCTTCAGTAAAGGTACAAATGGCTTATGCAGGAATACGGACATTCCACTGTTTGAGCTGCTGGGTCTGGTGGTTAGCTTTAGTTTTCAGCCAATGAATTAGTTACTTACCATTGGCAGTTTACTTGGAGCAGTCACAATGTTTGAAATCTCCTCGGCAACGTCAGGATTCGCTGGACCCAAAACAGCAAATGGTTTCCCTGAACTTTCAAGACTGACGAAACCACCCAATAGCCCCACAAGCTTCCGTGTTGCAATGGCAGGATTCCCACAAGAATCCACCACAGTCACACCTAGCTTGACTCCGGGTAGAACTGAAGGGTCTGCGTTCACCTTGTCAAGAGCATACAGGAGTGATTCAAGAGCCAGCGATTCTTCCGGCTTGGGGTCTCCACATTTTACCCCATCTCCAGACTTGCTGAGTTGCATGACGACCGGAAAGTCCAGGTCTCCAGGGATACGGAAGTAGTCTTGGTGAGAGGTGGTATTTGCGTCAGGTGGAGTTGGTGGGTTGCATTCCAAGCATAACCCGGTACACACTGATAAGAACATTGGATCAATGATGTTGTCAACGAGGTTGGATAGACCATCCACATCATCCCAAGAACCAATCTATTGACAAGTAAACACACAGGAAAGGTGACAATAATTGGTATAACTGACAGTTACAAGTGACAGTTATACCAGTGTTTTGCTTGTTTAAGCGACATGTATCACCTCCTAGGTACACTCCACTCCTCCTCAAGTTCCAGAGCCAAGGAAATCAGCAAACATAAATTAATAAATAAATAAATTAATTAATTAATTAATAAATAAATAAATGAAGTGTTTGCCTGATATCCATCACAACATTCAAATCAGATAGGTACTGTACAGTCTAAGCCCCTTTAATAGGCTGGACAATTGTTTAAGTCATTTAAAAATGGGGTGACTTGAACTGCTTTTCTTTATCCTTTGTATCACTAATAAGTCTAGAAGCTTGGCGCTGAGGAAATCAAATACCGTATTGAGGTTACATGTGTTTTTTCCCCCCTTTAAATCTTGGATCTTAAGGCCTTCATGACAAGACCGGAATATTTCTAAAAAAAACTATACCTGATCATAACGATATACACTGTTCATCTCAATAAACTGGTACACGGAATACCGAGCAGGACCGTCTCCATTCTCATCAAAGCTCACTCTCCTCATTAAACCAACTTGACTGACAAAATCGACTGCTTTAAGACGTTCCAACCATTCCTCTCTCGCGATATCAAAGACGGCATCGCAGACCTTTCCATTTGGGCAGGTGTCGTTAATTAGATTAGACAGGGCAATTGCATACACGTAAACGGAGTTGATGAAGTATTCCATTTCCAGGCTGTTAACATCACTGCTTGACAACATCTCAGAACCTGAGTAACAAATAAATAATTAAAAGCTTTTTCAAGTAAAGCACACACAAGTTTATGGCTCATGACTAGGACATGTTGAACAAAGAAATTGACTAAATGGGGAACCGCCAAAGTTGGGCTGAAGAGCTCAGTTGGAAGAGCACCCGCACGGTTTCAGGTTTTAGGCTCCAGCCTAAAGTTTATGTTCAACTTTTTTAGCCAAGGGAAAGTATTAAGGTTTTTTGAAACTTTTCATGTGGTTGAGGGCTACGAAATTTGTGATGTGAAAAAAGCAAGTGGACTAATAGACTGACAACTGGAATAACAAGCATGACAGTTAGTTTGCATAATCACAAATATATACAAAATGTAGCTTGTTTAATCTCGTAGGATCTTGGCCGTCATTGCTACAGGATGCACAGTACTCTTTGAATTTTTTTGTTATCCCATGTTTTTACCATTTTTAACTGTTTTTAAACCGTTTTATTTTACTGTTTCTCATTGTTCTTGTTTTGTCCTTTTGTAGTCTTGAATGTATTGTATTGTCAGCCTTGTAATGTTCTGCTCATACAGACAGTAGCCTAGGTTTGAATGTTGTTTCAATCTTTATTTTAATGAAGTTTGATTATTATACACATTGTCTTGCTTTAATGAATTAAAAAAATACACTACTGAAGTTAAACCGACATAATTATCAGCATTTTCATCTCCACTGGGCACCATGTTTTAGCTGACATCAGCTGATTTCCACGCATGCAAAGGTTTAAATAGTGAGATAAAGTAAATGTTACTTTGACAAAACAAAATTGTGATGCAAACCCTCACAGAAAAAGGGCAAACATTAAACAGGATCCTATAACCACAGAGAAAGGAAACCTCAATCTCTTTTAAAGGCCGAGCAGAATTTTACCAAAGTTAGAGTACGGTTATTCGGTAAGACGTATAATGCATAATTATTGATGAATAAGTTTTCCTCGTCTTATGTTAGAATTCTATTCTCCTGTATTTAAGCAATTAGCCTCTTTCCCAACTTTCACCATATTCACTTGTTTTAGGTTTTGAAGGCAGGCTTATGTGTACCTGTACAGTTTTGGTTGTATTTTGGTTGTTCTCCTGGAAGATCACATTCAAATTTCTGCATCCAGTATTCCTTGAAGAAGGGATTGTAAGCCGTGTCATTCGGAGTCTGGTCGAGGAAGTATTCTTCAAATTCTGGAACCCTTTCAGATTTGAAGGTCACCGTCAAGGCTCCTGTACATATACGATGAAAGAAAAGGTAAGAGAAGATGATTCATAATTTTGTTCTTCGGCAACAACTCTAGATGCCATCTAAAAAGTTGATCAGGCGATATTTTCAGGAAGATGATGGAATATATCATTTCCTGATCTGAGACTTGAGGGTGTCAACCCCTGAAGTGAAACTGGAGATGTAAATTTTAAGATTGGATTTGTTCTCTCTGGTGTAGTTTTAAAAGCATTTAATATCCAGTTCAACTTAAGAGCTTATGGAAAAAAAACGTCACAGGCACTCAGGTGGGACTTGAACCCCAGACGTCCTTCGTATTTTACGTGATCGCACCTTTGGCTGGATTTTCCAAACCAGGGATGTAGTCCATCCTGGTTCCCCAGTTATCTGAACCGATGAATTGGAACTGTCCTGCGCTGACATTCATGAAGACTAACTCCTGAAACAGCCGTCGGGCATGAGATGTGAACAAGAAGACGACAACTGTCTTGGCCTCGGGCTTTGCCATGAGCTCACGGACAAGTTCGGCAAAATCAGAGTTTATATCCACTCTGAACGAATTGGCAATGCAAACGCCTGCCTGTTATGTATAAAGAAATCAAGCGAGTGTTTCATGATCAATAGTGTTGAACAATGTTGAACTTGTGTAACTTGTGTACAGTAGAGATAAAACATGATGTTGTTAAAAAATGTGGGTTTTCCTTACATTTTTTGCTGATTCTTTAACAGCCTTGATGGCGTCATCACCATAAGCACCCTTTGAGTTGATGGTCTGAACATACTTGAAGTCAAGGTTCCCCAAAAGATCCACAATAGCTTCAGCTTGTTTGACATCGGAGGACACTGTCCGCAGAAAGTTGCCAAATTCCTCTTTGTCACTCAGAGCAGGACTGGAAGCTGTGTTGTCAATCACCGGTATGCTTGCAACCTGTAGGTCTTTGCTGATTCCCTTGGCTCTGGAACTTGAGGAGGAGTGGAGTGTACCTAGAAGGTGATACTTGTTGTTTTGGGTTGGGAAACCCACATCAAAGTCCCAATTCTTAACCAGCGTAAGACCAACATTATTAGCTGCAAAGGTGTCGCTATAGCAGATGTCGTTTACCATCAGGGACAGACGGACATCTGGAAGTAGATTCGGGTCCTTGTTGATTAGGTGGACTGCATAGAACACTGCCTCCAGTTGCTTGAACCGAGTCAGCTTCAACTGGGATTGGCACCCAGCCACGTGGTGTGAAAACAGAGTCTCTATGACAAAGTCAGTGAGTTCCTGGCAACTGGGGTCAAAACATGAGCCCTCCATGCAGACCGAAGTGGGAGGACCGACAGGGGTGTCTCCTTGGCCATAGAATTCCACCTGGTCCTTGTTGAGTGTCAAACCCTGATCTGTTGTCCACTCACCAACCTGGAAAAAAAGATGTTCACTCACTACATATCCATTTAAACAGACTTTAGGTATATAACTACTTCTACATATAACAAACTCACTGTATTTGTATTACAGGTCTATTTCATCAACTCTGTAATAACTTTAGCTAAATAAAATAGCTGCTGCAACTCTGTCATAATTAGGAAATGCATTAACTATACCTTTTGCAGGGAGTAGGCATTTGGTGTACCAGTGCTCTTGAACTGCATAACATCATAAAACTGATTTGCCGGGTCATCATTTTCATTAAATGATATGGCGCGACCCCCAATCCCTGTGAAGTTCACCTGTCTAATGAAGTCAATGAATTCAGATCCTGACAATAAAAACAATTACAACAATTACAATTACAACAGTTTTTACTACAATTTGTTTTGATAGTAGCTAGTTTTCTAATGATCTCAGTTTAAATTACTCCACATTTTAGTCAATAACAATTTAGTCACCAACTATTCAGGTCGTCTAGCCTCAAGTCCAGTAAACCAAATCAAGTGTGATAAATGTACTGTTTTGTTATTGATTATCCCCTGTTGTTCAGGACCCGGCGTACTTTTTTACAACTAGCGAAAACATTTCGGTTCCATTCAGATTCAACATTTTGGTTTGCAGGCTTAGGATTTCAAGTTACCTTGGATATTGGCCAATGCTTCACACATCCCTTGCTGGCTCCCACACTTCTCCTGATGCGCCAAAGAGAATGCAGACATGTAGGCGTGAATGGCATAAATCATGTTCACAACAGGAGGGTGGTTGAAGTCGGTGTTTGGGTACCACTGTGCAAACCAGCTCTTGTATGTGTCATTCACATCAACAAATGGCGACAAAGCGAAGAGACCGCGCGCAGCCTTGGCAATGCCAGGGTTGCTTGTGAAGTCATTGTATAGTGGTACATCACCAGAGAGCCACGAAATGTCATAGGCAGCACCTTGGATGCGTTCTACGGCCAAGAACAGCCTTTGGAGGTTGGCTGGTACAACCCATAGTATCACAACTGAAGAAGAAAAAACCATCAATAGAATAAAACGTGTGCACATGCTTGAGGAGCACCAGACATTGTTTTTCTGAAACCTTGAAAGGATTCATTATCTTAATATGAAAATAAGGTAATTGAGTTTGGTTTTTTGGTGGGCCCCAAAGAATGACAACTGAAGAGAAGAAGATGTAAGTCTTTGCTCATGACCAAACATTTTTTTTATGACTGAATTCAGAATTCAGAATGATCGGAATTCTGGGGAAGCAGAATTTTTTTTTCTTGTTTAAAACACCGAGTGCAAATCCCCCACCCCCTTGCAAATCAGAATCAGATCCCTTTAACAATCACGGACATTGCTGCCTGAATGAGTTTAATGGTGAAATGAATAATCATTCACAAGTCTTTGTCAAATTATCAAACTTAATGTTGTAATCACTGAAGGTAGTTCAAGGTCACACATTTTGGCAAAATGGCGCTGGAGTCTCCCAATGTGATGCAATTCAACATTCTGCTTCTTACATTCTTCGAACTGCGGAGCAAAATGTCTTTGTTAACGAGTTTCATGAAGTTAACTCTTCACGCATATTTTTTTTTACTGAAAAGTGAGGCACAAAAAATATTATGTGGCCGTTCAAAGAAGCACTGAGCATGTAGAGATTAACCTACAGACAATACACAAAGATGAACACATATTGACAAAAGAAGACCAAAAACAACAGAATTGGCCCACGATTGCAAGGCTGATATAAAACAAGGATGATAAGAGAAATAGCCATACCAGTGATATTTCGTTGGATCAGTTGATCCACTATAGCATCGTAGACGCTATCCCTTGTCTCTCCAATACCAACTGAGATAGGCTCAGTGAGGCAAAACCCAGCCTCTCTGATGCTCTCTGTCGCAGCTTTTAGTCCACTCATTCCATAGCTGTCATCACTGTGGACTATTGCTGAGTAGGTCCAGTTGTAACTCTTCATAATGGCCACCAGGGCCTGTTTAATTGGAAAATGAATCAGTCTTCATTGACAACTGTCAATCAATATATCATGGATTATGACAAGGGCTAAGGCTGTGGCTTATAAAGTAGCATCCTAATGGCACAGGGTAACACAGCAATCCTTTTGAATGGAGTACACTGCAAAAACTGTAGTGTTAATTTAACACCATTCGGTATCTATATAGGACAACACCAGTAAAATTTAACACCAGATGGTCCTATATAGATACCAATGGTGTAAATTTAACACTGCAGTTTTTGCAGTGTATATTTAAATTTTGGGGACAAAACTTTTTATAAATTATTGCAAAAAGTAGTTTGGGGAGAAGGTAATTGAACAATGATAAAGCAAATTCCCATGAAAATAGGATAAAAAGAGCTGTTTTCTAATTTAGTTGTGCCGTACGTAAAGTGTTATTTGATTTGTTTTTATTTGCACTATAACCCTCCCGCTATAGACCTTCATCTGCACCACGGGCAAAATTGTATGTTACGATCCTTTAAAGAGTTTGCGGAATGCTCGAAGACATTTCCGTCATTTTCGGGTATATTTAGCCTAAGATGTGGTGATATAAAAACGACTATTGTGACCGTCATGAAATGAGTACAAAAGGTACTTTTGAGAGCTGTTTTCAGGTCCTGTTTCGACCCGAACGCCCAATTTGTGTAAAAGTCGTCGTTGGGGGCAGCAAACAAAACATAGTAAATCGTGACGTAATAAATAGGACTCGTTTATACTACACATTTGTACTCATTTCATGACAGACACAATAGTTGTTTTTATTTCATCACACCTTAGGCTACATATACCCGAAAGATGATGGAAATGTCTTCGAGCATTCCGCAACCTCTTTAAGTTGGACTAAGAGTACTACACAAGACCAGGAGGAGGTTCCCTGTCTCATTTATTCGATCGAGCAACTTTAAGCCCCGCTTCTCACATCTGCAAGCATATTGTGGTTCCACAACGCCGACATTAAGCTGAATATCTGAAGATGTGTTATCTGAAGACATGTTTAAAAAAAAACTCGTCTTATTTGATTCCTTGATCCATTCTTTTGAATTGATATTACCTTGACGGCACCACTGTCAGGAGCAACAGTCCGGAAGAAGTTTGGATATTCCTGTGCATCACTCAGGGAGTCGGATGTCGCAGTATAAGCAATCAGCGGAATGTCGAGAGGTTGCAGGAGAGTTGACAATGTCTCGCTCCAGGAACTGAATCCGTATCCAACAACTCCTAAAATGAGACAGGTTTTGACCAGCAAACAGAACTGATTCTACAGTGGTTAACCCATATAGATAGCCACAATGAGGGTTGTAAAATATGCAAATAGCAATTGGTGTGGTACAAATGGGACATACTGTCATCACCAACCTGATAATTATGGGTGAAACCTTCAATAAATGGCTTGAAAGACCCACTAAAGCTTATAAATGCGTTATATGAACAGTGATAAGGAGATGAAAGAACATTCCATATTATTGACTTTTGGTTATTGAATCTTTTAACTTACCCATATGAAGTGTTTTGTTTGCACACAACATTCCATTTGCGAAGATATCGTTATACCTCTCATTGGCAAAGCGAACTGCACTGAATTCAGCCAGTTGGAATGTATCACACATGTCATAGATTTCCAAGCCTGAAAAAGGGGGAAAAAAGAAAATAAGAAAAAAGAGAGGATGATATTACTTAGTACAACATCATTTAAGACGGACCAGAGTTTTACTCAATATATTGAAAAAGTTAACGCATTATTATTTTCTGGTAGATTTAATGGTTTGCATGGCAGCATCCGAAACTCAACTATGCAAACTGTTGTATTTTAAGCTTCTTTATGAATGTAAAAATTGAGATTTTTTTTTTTAAATTTTGGCAAGAAATTTTGTGAAAATAAGAACTTGAATCAAGACATCAGGTCTATATGATCTTATAACAGCAATTGATGGTAGCACTGATTTGTTAATAATTTATTTGTGAAAGGAAGTTAAGAATTAAGTTGCCATGTTAAAAGATGCAAGTATCTAAATGATAATGGTTCTTCCCATACGATACTGTTTATCCAATAGATGTTCTGTTATCAATTAAATATACCAACACTCAGCCCACGTCAGTTTTACGTCCCATCTTTTTTATGAATATGAAACATACTGTCATCACCATGGGAGAGTTCGGAATGATGGATTTTGTTTTTACTAAGCGAACTGAAGATTATTGGCTTACCAACCATGACTGAACAGCACTATACCAATCTATTTTCTAATTATGTTTGAGAAAAAGGTTTAAAGATGTTGCATTATATGAATCTACTGATTATGAAGATACCTCCATTTGCTCAAAATACAATGATGGTTTCAACCAAGACATTCCTTCTTCAATTAATCACTTACCAACACTCAACCCAGGTAGTTGGATGGAGTCGGGCCAGTTGTCAGTAGCAGCAACAGCAGCTTTCATGGACAGTGAACCATAACCAGTCTCAGCATTGAAGTTACACAGAGCACCGCCAGTCGTATCCTGGCTGGCCTTATGTAAACTCAGCATGAGGCCAAGGGTCAGATCTGCACCAGGTTTGGTGACGATGGGTGTATATCCCTGAATGACCGGGCATTGCTGGGATGAGATTGGCATCACCGTCACCATGGATACAAGGAGGATGGAGATGAGATGGCGAGGTGCCATCTTTGTTATGATGGATGAGAACCTTCGTCCTGATGCTAAACAACAAAGTATCCAGCTTTAATTTATACGAATGAAAATTTTTACAGATAACCGGTATATTTCCTACTAGTTGGTCACCGATAAACTTTACTGTTACAGGAGGAATCGATTGTCCTTGTTAAGGTTTTAAAAAAATACCAGTTTTAATTGGGAGGCCTTTAATTCCAATAGTTGGTGACTCCTGAAGATTGTATTTGCAAGCAAGTTGTTTATGAAAAAAATAATTCTTTGCCCAATAAAAATCATTTCTTTGAATGAAAAGATAAATTAATTAACTTAAACTTGCATCAATAATGACAATTCTTGCAAGAAGACTTTTTTGACTGAATCATTTTTTTTTATAAAGAGCTCTTGATACAAACTAGTTACAGTGACATGTGCCATACAAAACCCATAACATGTCAATTTCCCACAAAATTTCATTGAAATAGCACAATGGTAAAAAAAAATCAATAACAATTTAATTAAAACGAGTCAAGTGGATCACTCTTTACAAATTGTTTTGATTACTTTTGTGGAGTAAATTTGACTTTATCCATGGATGGGCAAATTGCTAACTACAGGGTCTGCAGTCCTATTGATTCATAACAAGTTAAGGAAGTATCACACTGAAAAGGGAGCAAAATATATATCCTTCAAGTAAAGTTAATTTTTAAATTGTACTTGTAACGGAAAGTGCTTTAATTTTTTTTTATGATTACATGGTTCGTAAAACAATTTTGCTCTCTTCCCTGTTTCTTGTAATTGATAAAAATTGGTAACATCCTATGAAGGTGGCTGGCGATTTTCATACCAACCAGTACAAAATCAACCAGTATCAAAACAAGGTCAGTCTTCATGGTTCAATAACCTTACGATTAATGAGTTAGTTTTTGACGAATCAAAGGCGCCATCGATGCAACTTCAAAGTGTCCTCATAATTATGGCGGCTACTGTCTGCGCGTCTTAAATGTCCTGTCTATATTCTCGTTAGGCTGACAGCAAATCGGTCTTTTTCAAACTCCGCTTCATTCAAAAGCTGTTTGTGTATATTTATGATGAATACACAAAAATAGTTCTCAATCAGGCATGACCAGCTTGGGAAAAACACGTGCAATAAAAGAGCTGTGCAGTGGGTTGTTCCAGATGAGTTGGTGTATAAAGTACACCGGATTTGGTTTAACTGAAGGTTGGAACGGGAAGTATATTCAGATAGCAGGTAGGTGTACACATCAAGCGTGGGTAGGATTTGCAAACAGAAAATACAATGCGAGCAAAAACCAAGTCCAAGTTTCGAATTTTACAAAAGTATTTAGTTTATATTCTGCTCAAGATCCGGGACAAAACATCAAAGAAAGGCACAACTGCACGATAAATTGTAATCTCAAATTTCAAAACCTGAATAACTGCTTTAGCTATAGGCCTAAGGACCTGGTCAATTTTTTTGGGCAGTTTGCAGAGTTTCTCCATTTTTTAATAAATTTAGCACTGATTTTTTGCAGCATCAAAGTTTGTTCTACAGCTCAGTTATCAATGTTTACAAGTTTTTCAATTCTAATCATGATATCAATACCCACGAAAATCTTATACCTGTGAGGATTTGACACTGACACAAGCTTGCTCTTCCACCGAGAAACAAGTCCATAACAAAAACGCTCAATTGGGTTATCCCGGCCGGCCCCCCGTACTATGTCAAAATGGAACCCAGAGGTTTCGTCAGCACAGACCACAACCAAAGATTTTTGTTTTATCTGCCGAGTTACAAAAGCCAGGCAGGCCAAGGACCCTAGATTTTCTGGTAAGACCAACTCTCATTATTAAACAAAATATATACTCTTTCTCTGACATGTAAGGAATGTGTTTTGATTCCATCACAAATTAGACTTGTTATGCTGAAAACCAGCTTTTTTGAGGAACATATACAGGCTAATTAAGTTATTGAGTAACATATCAGCAGGAGTCACAATTTTGTAAAGAGTTGTTTATCAATTTGTAATATTGTTGAATGTTGGTAAAAGTTAATTGTCCTCCGATAACTTTAAAGCTCACACCTCTAAACAGTTTCATGTTTAATCAATAGCATAAACTAAATTGGACACAGCCTTTTCATTTGAGTATAGAACCTACTTCATATCCTCCCTTAGTGCCCCCACTTGAAATACCGGTGACCCCTGCCCCCCCCCCCCCCCCCCTCACTGAAAACATGGATGGCAACACCACTTCCCCCACTACTCCCAAGATCAACAGCTTACTTAGACAGACAATGATTGATTTTAAGAGCATGAACTACTTTATAATTTCTATCAAATTCTCTCTTCCCGTGTCCTACAAGTATGGCCCTACATGAACTTATCATCGCTTCCCCTAATGTAACTTTCAGACATAAGAACAAAGATTGGATTAATTTTTTTGTGTCTCTGTAAAAAATTCCTACCACTGAAATAAGTGAGACCAAATATTGGTCCAGCCCCATCAAATAATATTTATTCGACAAAGACAAAACCAGGAAATTCAAGTTTCATGCTTTCAACAAGAACACAATTTCTCAAAAAGTTGCATTTTTACAGGCCCTAGTTCTTCACATACATTGAATACAGAGGCAACCGCACCCACATGTCATTCGCATGGTTAGTGTCCTTAAAAATAATTGCAGTATAGTTTTGGAATTCAGGCGAGGGGGGAGGGGGGCTAGGGTAGGGCAACAATCCCATCCTCCCAGGCATCCTCCGAGCCCCTCATGTCCCAATGATAGCCAATCCAATAAATGAAAAAATTACCTTACTGCGTAGCCAGTTGCAGTGTAAGTTTCAGCCAGATTCCTTTTACATGCTTCGTTGCATCAAACAGTACCACGTGATGGTGTTGACTCATATTTCACAACTAAACCATATTCGATTTGTTAATAATGCCTTTCTAGGACTACACAATGGTCACACTAACAAAAGAACACATTCTTGCTGGTTATATCTGTGACCTTGCCGTTCCCTTTTTTTAATGTGTGCCTTGATGCAAATTATTTTGATCCAAAACGCATACAGATTTATGCAGTAAATAGTAAAATTCTGTACTTTATATGTCGTTGAGCTTGTTATGTTTTTACATAAATATTAGGAAAGTGGGAATCTGTACCTCCAGTAAAGAGTTGCAAAGAAATGCCGAACGTCGCACACGGAGACAAACAATGGGCCCAGCAGAAGGGAGATTATACACCAAAGACTAATCAGGGTATGGATAAAAAGATTGAAGAAACATGCAATAGACCTTTATCATGCTGCCACCATTTCAGTCATGTTCCCTGTATCCAAGAACAGTACTCAATGATAATGTGTTTTGTGCAATATACATGTATTTTGTTTGGTGCTATATTTCCTTCCAGCCTCGCTTTGGTTATACGTTGATTTGAATCGGGAAAAAAAGCAAGATGGCGCAGAATGATGATGGTCTACAGGGAAATGTGACCATCCACGTAAGGCAGCATGGAACCGGTGTACGCCCCCCCCCCCAGTCGCCCCCCACTGAGATTTTGAGTTTCTAAAAAAAATTATCATTGATCTACATGACGCCCCCCATGAAATGTTCCAGCCCCCCAGCGCCCCCCACTGAAAAATTCCTGGCTACGCCACTGGGTGTATGCAGGGCCCCAATGGAAACCAGTTTCAAACTGTTTGAGCATACCCTGGGTAAAGTAAATGTAATGTAGGGGCCTAACCATCCGGAGTTGCCTGGCCGTATTTTTGAGAATACAACCTACATGTATATACATGTACATGTACATACAGCCAATATACGCAGAATATTGAGAACAGGAATTACCTGTCAGATGTTGTCCTTTTCCCATGTATCATTGGAAAGCTATGCTGTACGCTGCTTTTCAAATGAGCCCCACATCCTTTTTTTTCAAAAATGCATCCAATTGACTGGTTTTGTGCCAAAGCGTGAAAAAATCTATTGAAATGCGGTGTAGCATGAATTTAGGTTTTATGAAATACGGACTCATTTGTGATATTGCGCATGCTCATGCATAGATAATTAGGAGGGGGACCAGTCACGTGAGAGGATTTAACCAATAAAAGGGAAAAAGAGTCCGATTTTCATACGAGTCTGATTTTCATGTGACAGCGGCTTGAACAGCAATATGAATTATACAAAGTGGGAGTAGGGTCTGAAAAATATCGCATACAAGTAGCAAGGTAGTGCAGGTAATAAACTTGCGGAATGTGGAACTTTAGCAGTTAAAGCATGTATAGGAGAATGAAAAAAAAGGTTCTATAGGCTCATTCATAATGGAAGCCTTTTTTTTCAATCCCATATCTCGACCTTTCTCATTTTGATTTGGCGCCCCTGGCAAGGGTATGAGCTTTTGACTGGGCAATACTATTGTCAGGTGTTCACGCATGCAGTACAACCCGGTCCACAGCCTCTGTTGTTCTTTTTCGGGATTAAGGTATTAAAAGGGTCACAGGCGGGATATTTTGTGATTTCCAAATACGTGATGTCTATGTTTTCATGGGTAAATATTTCTGACCTGTAATGAATTGAAAATTTAATCAATCCGTAGTAAAGATTTATATTCAAAGGACAAAATGATCTTCCAAGGTGCACGAAGACAGTAAATGGGCCATCTGATTTCAGGATAAATGCCAAACAAGTACCATAAAAAATATTAAAAATTGAATCGCGCATGACTAAAACTTTGCCATAATATGACTGCTTTACCATAATATACACTGCTTTTGACTGAGTAATTATTCACGCATGCAGTCACAACCCGGTCCACTTCCATCTTTTTGTTGCTCTTTTTGGGGGATTAATGTATAAAAAAAAGATCACAAGTGGCATACCTTGGACATGTGATGTCCAAATACGTGATGTCTATGTTTTGATGGTTGAATATTTCTGACTTGTAATGATTTTAAAATGAAATCAAGGCATCTACTAACAGAGATGCCACCAATATATCAATAAAAAGCCGGAAACGCTATTAAACCCCCCTGAAACTACCCTTACCCCCTTTCATAAATGTGTTTTCGATATGTTTCAGGCCAAATCCAGCACTTTTAATTTGTCACATTTAAAAAAAATAAAACCCCCTGAATTCAGGTTAAAACTTGAAAAGTGGCATCTCTGTACTAAAGATTTAATTGAAAGGACGAAACAATCTTCCAAGGTGCACAAAGACAGTAAACGGGACATCTGATTTCAGGCTTAAACGCCAATCAATTCCCATGAAAATATATTGAAAAAATGAATTGTGCATAACTAAAACTTTACCAAGATATGAAATTAACTTATCCATTATAAACAATCCAGTTACTCTTTTTTACCCAATCAAAATCCGAATCTATGCACATACTACCAACAAGACACGACACAAATTAGTAGAGTGTGCCAAAAAAAGAGCGACATTCAGAAAAAATATTTCAAATTGTAAAAAAAAAAATTCTTCAATGAAATTAAATGGCATTGAAGCCTGAACATTTCTCAATCCACTCCTTTTTTTACCCCATTCCACGTTGGGTTCCTAGATTCAGAAATACAATCAATTAAGTGAAAGGGTGTGAATTTTACTGGGCCACTCTCACCTGGATATGCTGAACCTGGGGTTAGCATTGAATAGGGATGAAGTTAATGGGCACTGAAGTTGGTGGACATCAAAGGTGAGAGTAGTCTATATAACAGACCCTTGCCCCGGCGTACCAGAGCTGGGCTGCGTGGGAGAATACACGATACTCAGACTAAGGTGAGAGTGGCTCAAGTAAATCTGCACCCTTTAACTTAATAGTGATTATATTTCTGGATCTTGAGACCCAAATTGAATTGGGTAAAAAGAGTGGATTGAGAAATAATCAGGATTTAATGTAATACATAATTTTATTGCAGAAAAAGAAATATAAAATAATTTTAATTATTGGTTTTCTGACTGTTGCACTTTGTTGGCAAACTCTGTTCAATAAGCTGAAAGGAAATAAACGAGAGAAACAGTACTGTGTCGTCCCAGCCTCGACTCCATGGGCGCGTGCGCGTTCCTGAAGGCATGATGGGAAACAACATGGCGCAGCAAGATCGTACCCATGGGGAACAAGGTTAGTATCGTCCCATCAGCTTGTTTATTTGACCCTGTAATAAGTTGTGCAACCTTGTTCCGAATGACTGATCACACGTTTAGTTCAATTCAGATATAAAAAGTCCAGAAAAATTAAGTCCGCGGACTGTCCAGTGAAGTGATCCAGAGGTGAACAGTGTCTCTAGGGAGTCAGAAAGCTGCCTGGTGAGTCTTGATGTATTGATTAAACTTTTGCAAACTTGAAGTATTTTTTTTATGGACGGGGGGGGGGGGGGGGGGGGGTCTGCGCAGTTAAAGAAAAGGGAGTTTAACTTTGAGTTTTGGATTAAATGGCAGAATGTTCAAACTATACCGGGTATGGAAACTTGTGACTGGACTAGATCTTTGGGAAGAATTAGAAAGTTGCAAAAATCAAGTTTAACTGTGACATTTAGATAGAATGGCCAACATTTGGAAACTAGACTGGATATAGAAACCTGTGCCATCAGGATCCTTGAAAATAAATCGGTCCTGGTATAAAGTAATACTTTAAAAGTTAAGAGTTGAGGTTTAAAACGATAGTGCAGACACTTTAAGCTTATCATACACGCGTGAAGTTGGGGAATGCAACACCTTTTGGTTAAAGTCAAGATTGAACTTTGTCAACTTAAGTTTGAGAGTTTAACTTACTTATAAAGAGTAAGCTTAATGGTTGCACTACGAACCTACTCTTATAAAGTGCTCTCTTCATCAGGCAAACCTTCAAATATAATTTGAAAACTTCTAGTTTGTGAACAGATTTGAGCTGGTGAAATATTGTCTAATTACATGATAATACAAATGGACGCGGAACGCGCAACATTCTGAGACAAACAAAACTTAGCGTACACAAATTCCGGCGATAGGTCAATTGATGACTTTAAAGATTCAGTCCTATACAATCTGGAACAAAAGCTAAACTTTCCTTAAAGCTCATGAAATAACATATTACAATAATGCCAACTCGATTCACAGATGTCTATATTTGTTGACCCCTGCATAGCAGCACCCCTCCCCGAAAAATTTGCCACTTCGACTCATCAGCGACCCCGTTTTGAAAAAAACCCCGGATGCCACTGAATTGATTCGTCTCAGCTTCCCTAGCATCATCATGGGGAAGGGAAGTTTAATGTTGTTTCACGAACAAATGCATTTCTTTTACGAAAAAGCCGTGAGCCAAGATTACCTTTCGTTATAAATGGGTCGCTAACAATGCATTTTTACGCAACCGGGTCGTCAAAACCTTTCGCTGTAACAGGAATTTCGTACTGTCCGTTTTCGTCTTAAGCGAAATTTTCCCCATAGACATGTGCACAATTTTGGCGGGACCGAAGATATTTGTTTGTAATAACCGGTATTTCGTTCTAGCCGTTTTTGCTATAATGGGAGCCGACTGTATTTGGTTCATGCGTCTTAGCTGTTACCAACACCACTGGATTTTCCACGCCCAAAGGTTTTCCCAATACGTCAATACGAACCTGCTGGGGATAGGGTGCACTTGTCTACCCCCCCCCCCTTGAGCTGCCAAAAGTAGTGAAATCATGCAAGGAAAAATACCTGCTTCCCCTCCTCCCTCCTCCCGACAGATAAACCCTCTTTGAGCCAGCCAAAGCTCCCTCTCCGAGACCCAATCTTCACCCCATGAAGCAAAAAAGCCACAATGGAGCAACCAATACCGCACAATGAGGAAAATAGCATATAATATTAGGTTTAAACATTTTAAAATTAAATAGAAGAACATTTTAGACAATTAAGCCATGAATGTAAATGACAGTTCTTTTTATATAAATGCTTAGTGTGTCGTCTCTCTTTTTCCCCCGCTGCTGGGAAAAAGAGAAATTTATTTTAGGATTAGTGAAATTTACAACCTGGATTGGGTTTTAAAAACACTTTTCATTTTGAACTGGGCTTTACCACGCATCCACTACCAGGCCGCCCATATTGTTGTCTCGGCCCACAGCTACAGCTATAGCTATACAGTTTAATTCTGTCTCGCCGCTGCCAACTCAACTGGAAATGCAGCCCATTGCTAAAGCCCTTGTTTGTTGCAGGTCACCTGTCATGGTTGATCTAAAACGTTTGTGTGTATTCAAATGTAAAACCAACTTTAACAGAGTTGAGTTGAACGAGACCCATTTCGTATTCACATCAGTTTGAAAGTTCAGATTTGCGCAGGGCAGCCAAGTCATTGTTGGGCCATGTAGATTATTAAACTAAAAGGAGTGAATGGTGCTGAGTTTTCCGTGGTGCTGAAAAGGACCAGTCACCGTTTACAAATTACACGAAGACCTACATAATGTGGATTTTGAAGAAAAAGTGATTTCGATATAATCGTAAAAGAAGTTTCTCCTTTTTAAATACTACTTTGCAACAACATCTTGCAGTAAGGAAACCTTGACATGATTCTGTAAAAGCCGACTTTTCTATGTGAACCCAGTAATAAGATTTAATACAATAGTTAATTAGTGAAAATTAATTAGTAAAGGTATGTGTCTCTTCGTGAAAACGAAAATTCAAGTTTCCTACACTTTTGCCTTTTTTTCAATACATGTGTTTTTCCATGGGCACGCGTGTGGACGCGCGTGCAGCTGAGAATGTAACAAAGATAATGTGGCTCTTCGTGAAAACGAAAATCTCAGTTGCCCTTCTTTTACGCCTTTTTTCCGTGCAATTTACCCATTGCGATAGAATCGTCAACGCAGCTTGTAGAATATTGTCCAATTGCAAGATAGACAAAATGGACGCGGCCAACGCGCAAAATCTTAGACAAACAAAACTGATCGTACAAAATTCCATAGGGATGTCTAAGGAGCGGAATTGCCACGACGCCACAAATTCGCGTTCGCTTTCGCTTTCGCGCAGATTATGAACCGGGCTAAAGGCGTAAAAGAAGGGCAACTGAGATTTTCGTTTTCTGGTATTATTATCATTGGGAAAACATTTCACTTAGGGTGCCTATCATCTAGCCATACATAATTCCACCACTCATACAATCTAAAATTAAGTTCATTGTTAAATATTTATTTAGTACTTTTTAGTACTGCATTCAGACTGTTGTGAAATAATAACACTATTTTCAATATGCCTACCCATGTAAAACTGAAGGTCACCAAAACAATCACTTATTTTATTGGCTTGACAGTGAGTTTTCTCAATACACTTTCTTTTAACCATGATGCTGGTTCAACTTGTTCGTGCAAGATATAAATATCAGTTCTGTATTACTGTTACATCTTTTCTCTCTTCTCACCCCGTATTGCAGTTCAAACAACAGTTCTTTCTTTCGCCAAAAGTTTACCTGCAATAAGGATACGTAATCTCCTGGAGCAATTACAGATGGCTACTTTTAAATAAAAGCTTGTTACTTTGTTCTTTAGTATCAGGAAGAGGACTCTCATCCATCATACAAAGATGGCACCTCACCACGTCATCGCCATCCTCCTTGTATCCATGGTGACGGTGATGCCAATCTCATCCCAGCAATGCCCGGTCATACAGGGATATACACCCATCGTCACCAAACCTGGTGCAGATCTGACCCTTGGTCTCATGCTGAGTTTACATGAGGCCAGCCAGGATACGACTAGCGGTGCTCTGTGTAACTTCAGTGCTGAGACCGGTTATGGTTCACTGTCCATGAAAGCTGCTGTTGCAGCTACTGACAACTGGCCTGACTCCATCCAACTACCTGGGCTGAGTGTCGGTAAGTGATTAGTTGAAGAGAGCACAAGTCCGGATTGAAGCAAAGGGCTGTATCTCAATTGATGCACAAAAGACAGCATCTTTAAGCTTCTTCTCAAACATAATATAGGCAAGTAGTGCTGTATTGGCGTGGTTAGTAAGTGGAACAATAATCTCAACTTCCCTTCAAGTTTGAAACCTATAACAGATGAAAAGACTGCATACTGTATGTAGTGCACTTCAGATTTTTTCTTCATGAAGAAAACACATTATCTATTAGTTTCCATACGGTAGAAGTTGTGAAATTAAACAATACAATGCCAATGAATTGCCAGTGTTTAATGACATTTTTGGTTTTTATTTAACTGACAGGCTATTCCTTCTATAACCCGTGAGGTTATATAGACAAAGTAAGACAGTAAGAGACGAAGTGGTACTTGGGATGATGTGGTTTATTCGGTTGGCTGTGACGCTCTCTGTCTGATTCCTAGATTCTACTGGGTTTTTATAGTAAATGAACATTCCAATCTTACAGCTATCTTACAGGTTTCTTGCCTTATTAGGAATCGCTCACTAACTATTGAATATTAATAATACAGAATTGAAGGTGTTTGGTCAACTTGTATCTGGGGCAGGGCTAGGCAAATTAATAGAACAATCGGATTTCCTTATAAGTCTGTGGGCTGAATCACTGCGGCCTTCCGGTGCAGCCCAGCATCCACCCACGCGGACCTTGTGGCTAAACTGGCCATTCCTTAGATGTGTCTCATAACCAGGAAAGTGGTCCTGTTCCTTGAAGGTCAATGTATACAACTTAAACAGTAAATATAAAACATGATATTTTATCATGGTGATACTTCACTTACTGAAACATCATTTTTTCCAAAGTGAATAACATCTCAAATTAACGTCCCTTTCATTTTAATCAGGTCTTGAGATCTATGACTTGTGTGAAACATTCCAATTGGGTGAATACAGTACGGTTCGCTTTGCCAATGAGAGGTATAACGATATCTTCGCAAATGGAACGGTGTGTACAAACAAAACACTGCGACTGGGTAAGTGGAACACACAAAGTAATTCCCTTCTTTCTTTCCTTCTTAAATTTTGATACCTATTTGGTTCATGTATTGGCACTGGGAGGTCTTTCAAGCCTATGCTCGAAGATCCTTTATTTTCTGCAACTATAATTTTTTGGTCATGCATGACAAACTGTTCCACTTCACACAAACAATTGCCAAAGTTGACATGTGCACCACGCCTCTTGAATGGATCGATCCAGTAAGTCCCGCCCACTGAGCACTGGGCAAATTAACACGTGCTCCCCTCCAATGCCACAATGCATTTTCCTGCCGCGCGCATCATACTAGCATGCACGCACATCGGACTTTTGTGCACGCATGTTGGACATAAATCACGGCTGTGATTGGTCGGAACACCATGGGGCGGTGCTTACTGGATCGGTCCACTGAGCTCAGTTAAGCCACTGCAAACTAATGGTGAGCCAGTGACTCGTCCGGAACTTGCCATAATTTGTAACACTAGCTAAATACCACGTATCTACAAATTGGTTGCCTCACTGTGTAGAATCCATTCTATCTACTCCTTTACCAAAACTTGTCTCTTTTCAGGTGTCGTTGGATTCAGGTACAATTCATGGAGTGAGCCCTTATCGGCTCTTCTACAACCACTTGACATACCGGTGATTTCTTTCACTTCAACATCCAATTCACTGAGTGATTCGGAGAAATATCCCAACTTCTTCCGGATTGTTCCTCCTGACAATGCCGCTGTCAAGGTATGACCGCTTCTCAAGATTCAGGCTTCTTAATGTCATTTTCAGTCTCCGCTAAGACGAAGAAAGCTTTCGTTTTCTTGGGACAAAAGAAATTATGTGTAGATCTAGCCAATCATCTATGTTTACTTGGTACAACTCAGGGAGAACTATAAAACACCACTTCTTTCAAGTAGCCTATAAATACTTTCAATAGAACAATCAAATACAACGTGAAAGCTACCTTTGTTGAAACAATCACAAACAACTTATTGAAAGTTTCAAATCAAACAACAATATGTCAAAAATCATCAGCCTGAACAAAACATTCAGTCTATTAGCCTGTGTCATCTCTTCTTCATAAGCCTTAGCTACTATCATCGTCCATCCTGTGGTGAATTGTTTTTTACTTAAACAGGCCCTGGTGACCATTATGAAGAGTTACAACTGGACCTACTCAGCAATAGTCCACGGTGATGACAGCTATGGAATGAGTGGACTACAAGCTGTGACAGAGAGCATCAAAGAGGCTGGGTTTTGCCTCACTGAGCCCATTTCAGTTGGTGCTGGAGAGACAAGTGATAGCGCCTACGATGCCATAGTGAATCATCTGATCCAACGAAATTTCACTGGTATGTTTCATCAGTTATAAATCCTTTCTTTTTGCTTGCAGTCTCCAAAAAAATAACTGCATTGACTAGATGCACTTTTGATAGACAATTCTGAAGTTCCCCTATCCAAAGATTTAAAGACAGACGGTAATGAAATGCCCAGTTGTTCAAGTGAGAGCAGAACCAATAAATTTGAGCAAGGTTTAATACACAGAGATGGAAGGCGTGGAAAGTATCATGTGCCATTTTGACTCCCCGGATTTTGTTAAATCCAATTTTCTTAATTTCATTAAATCAAACTGCTTGATTTTATTGAATCTATGTTTCCTAAAACCTAATGTACTTAAACTCTTAGAGGTGACGGGTGAGGTGAGTGGACAATCAGGAGAAATGGAATTATAACCCTGAGATAATGACCCGTATCAAGCTTTCACAAAGATGAAATTAGTTCCTCAGGCAAGGTGCACCAACTTGATGTACACTTCTCCTTTTCTCTCTTCAGTGGTCATCCTCTGGGCCCTACCGGAGAACATCCATGGGCTGTTCTTGGCCGTAGAGCGCATACAAGGGGCTGCCTACGACATTACGTGGCTCTCTGGTGACGCACCACTGTACGTCGACTTCGCAACGATCCCAGGGAATGCCAGGGCTGCTCGAAGTCTCTTCACATTGTCGCCATTCGTTGACACGAACGCCATGTACAAGACGTGGCTTGCACAGTGGTACCCGAACACCGTGTTCAACTACAGTCCCACTGGGCAGCTGATTGATGTGATTCACGCTTACATGTCTGCATTCTCCTTGGCTCATCAGGATAAGTGTGGAGGCCAGCAAGGAATGTGTGAGGCATTGGCTAATATCCAAGGTAATAATAAACACAACAGACTTAATGAGAGAATAGAGGAGGATTGGGTGATGACAATGAGAGTCCGTCAGGAAAACAGATGTGGGAAAGGAATCACTTTTAAAATCAGGCTTCATTCTACTCTTTTGATTTGCAGGATCTGAATTCATTGACTACATCAGACAGGTAAACTTCACAGGAATCGAGGGTCGCGCCATATCATTTAGTGATGAAAATGCTGACCCGGCAAATCAGTTTTACGAGGTTCTACAGTTCAAGAGCACTGGTACACCAAACACCTACTCCTTTCAAAAGGTACCTACATGCAATTTAAATTTACCATAAACTTTCCTAAGATGTATATTAGCACTCATAAAGTACCATGACCAGGGTGATCTGAGGAGCAGTTTTGTGCACAAACTTGTGATTATCTGTTGTAATATATTTTTTTCCGCTTTATTTCTGTAAGGTTGGTGAGTGGACAACAGATCAGGGTCTGACACTCAACAATGACCAGGTGGAGTTCTATGGCCAAGGAGACACCCCTGTTGGTCCTCCCACTTCAGTCTGCACGGAGGGCTCATGTTTTGACCCCAGGTGCCAGGAAATCACTAATTTTGTTATAGAGAATCTGTTTGGTATTTACCTAGATGGGTGTACAGTCTTTAGCTTTTCCGGGTACACTGAGTGGGAAGCAGTTTTCTATGCAGTTCACCAAATCAATGAGGATCCAAATTTGCTGCCATATGTCCATCTTTCCTTGACGGCCAATCAGATATGTGGGGACCTGAAAGGAATTGGGAAGGCCTCTCTGGATCTGATCCAGAGGTGGAACTTTGATGGAGGGTTTCCAGCACAAGATGATACCCACCTCCTGGGTGTACTGCATAATGCCTTCAGTGCATCAGCCATTGTAACATCTACGAATCTACAGATAGCCGATGTGCCAGTGATTGACAACACAGCTTCAACTCCATTACTGAGTAACAAAGATGAATATGGCAACTTTCTGCGCACCAATCCATCGGATCTCGGGCAAGCTGCAGCAATCGTGGATCTTATGTCCAGTCTGGGCTGGACGTATGTTCAGACAATCAACACAAAGGGTACTTATGGGGATGGTGCTATCGAGGCTATGAAAGAGTTAACGGATCAGGTAAGGCCAAAAGCAAAGGAGTATTGAAAACCCTAATATATTGAGGGATTGATAGTTTGTGGGTGTACCATCGAAGTAAAGTGTTCCAATTTGAAGAAATGGTGGTCAGAAATTTGTCCTCTTTTCTGTCCTTATTCAGAATCCTCTTTTCAGAACCCCACTTCTGGTAAAAGATTCCAAGGTGTGCATGCAAAACTACCACTTCAATGTACCATTCTACCATAGAAGGCTTCTTGTTAACACAAATTGTTGGTGGGACGGCAAAAAAGTAGACCCCTAATCTCTATAAAGCTGAAAAATGAGAAGTGTGACGAACTTAACATTCTATTTTTAATCCATTTTTTCTGAGATATCTTTAAGGTATACATCATTAGTGAATGTTGATCACGAGTTCATGTTTTATTTGTTTTATACCTTCAGGCAGGCATCTGCATCGCCAATTCCTTCAGAGTGGATGATGAAACTGATTATGCCCAACTTGCCCGTGACCTCTTGGCTAAGCCCAAGGCCAAGACGATTGTTGTTATCTTGAACACTGCTCATGCTAGATCATTGTTTCAGCAGTTGATTGCCATGAATGTCAGCGCAGGACGATTCCAGTTCATTGGTTCAGATGTATGGGGAACCAGGATGGACTACATCCCTGGCTCGGAAGGGCCAGCCAAAGGTACGGTTACACCGCTGTTGTACTTGGGGTACTTATGATGGATCAAGAGTGATTACAAGCCCATCAGAAGTGAATTACAAGTCATCCAGTCCCTATTTAACTCCAAAGCTGCCAACTATGAAAAAGCCATTTCCTTTTTTAAATGTTCATACCCATTACATGTGGATATGAAGTACTTGTGAATCCATCCAAGTACCTTGAGTACAACCATGGGTTATGCACTTGACATTCTCTGTCAAAGTTACTTTAGACTGCTGCAACTTTTGTGCGTACAAAATGTATATACAAAGCAGGTAGCGGGTGAGGCCATGGGCGTCGCCAGGATTTTTTCTAGAGGGGGGCAAAAACATTTTTGCCAAAAAATTCTTGTATTTCTCAACACATTTTCGATTTATCAGTTTTAGGGGGGGCAGGGACATTTTGCCTCCCCCCAAACTCATTACATTTACACTACTTTGTCTTCGCGCCTCTTTTTTTTTTCTTTTTTTCTTTTTTCTTCCTTTTTTTTTTGTGTGTTGCTTTTCCGGGGGGGGGGGGGCAAGTGCCCCCCCCCCTTGCCCCCCCCCCCCCCTCGCGACGCCCATGGGTGAGGCGCCACCTTGTTCATTATCAGCACATAATAAGTTTTTGTAAATATTCCCAGGAGCCTTGACAGTGAACTTCAAATCTACAAGGGTTCCAGAATTCGAGGATTACTTTCTCAGCCAGACTCCTGACACTGCTTACAATCCCTACTTCAAAGACTTCTGGATGCGGACATTTGAGTGCAACCTTCCTGGACAACGACCACTATTTAGCCGCAACTGTACAGGTATAAAATTGTCCAGAAATATTCGAGAAGGATAACAATTGGAAAAACAGCGCAGTACTTACAAATTGTCATTTTAGTACACAACCTATTTCAAGTTTTCATTTGGTTCACAAACCCTGTCACGTTTTCATGAGACTATTAGGTAACATCTGTTCTGACACATCACTGAGGTACATTCTTTACTATTTGTCCATGTAAAAATATTTCAACGGGTATGGTCCAAACACAAGACAAGGGGCCACTCAACATTTTTGTAAGATTTCTCAATTCTCATGCTTGGGAAATCGTATAAAAATGCATTCGTGTGAAGGAACACCCATTCTAGAAAAATGACTTACATCGATCCTTAGTGAATTTATCTCACTCCATGGGAGATTTTGCCGGAGTTACCAACAGTATGTTTGCCTGAACACCACTGATCTACCAGTAACCAGCGTCCATGTCTTCAGCGATGCTGGACAATTATTCATTTCTCTTGTTTAAGCATGCACATGAAGTCGAGCTTGTAAAAGTTTAAGTAAACAATCCCCACTCGTGAATTGTTTCCCAAACCTTGGTAGTTTGGTATCTATGCACACCGCTTGAACTGCGAAGGATTGATTTTTTTTGATATCATGATATCAGACAGGAAGAGGGGAAAACTGGAAGAATATTTAGTACTAGCCTTATGAACTCAGACAGCGAAAGGATATGAATAGGCAGTGGAGTATGTGGATTGTCTTATAGTATGATCAGGAGAACCAATGAAGAGAGGTTACTGGAAGACATTTCACCTGTGTCTGCAATATAAAGCAGTGGTTTCACCTACGAGTGTTGTGTTATTTAGGTGCACAGACAATACTTACACTTTTGGCATATAAATAGCACTGTGATTGTTTATAATTGTCATGCTGCACAATATTTGAAGACCACATTAAAAACATTTACTTGTCTATCAGGTTCAGAGATGCTGTCACGCAGTGAGATTAGCAGCATAGGAACGGAATATTTCATCAATTCTGTTTACGTGTACGCAATTGCCCTGTCCAAACTGATTAACGACACCTGCCCGAACGGAAAAATCTGCGACGCCGTCTTTGATGTCTCGAGAGAGGAATGGCAGGAACGTCTTAAAGCAGTCAATTTTGTCAGTCATGTTGGTTTAAGGAGGAGAGTGAGCTTTGATGAGAATGGAGATGGTCCTGCGTCATACTCCCTGTCCCAGTTCACTGAGACGGATGGTACCTATCAATATAATGAGGTATTGTTCTGATAAGCCTTCTCCGTTAATTGTGAAGAAAATGACAGTATAAGGACCAGACATTTTGGCTTTTCTGGGAAAAGGGAATCTCCAACCAATTTTCCTAATATTTGTCATAGATGCCATTTGCTCTGTACCTTTTCCTGGTCATTGTTAATTTATCCTGAAAATAGTTTACTTTGCTCAGTTATTTATTCAAACGTTCAAACTGGATGCATTTTTAAAAATTGATCAATTCATCCCATGCTAGTTTGGGGTCAATTGAGGGAAACAAGAGTTCAAAGAAAACACCCAAATGAGACACATCAACATGTAGAAATACTAAATTGAAAAGGCATATCGGATTATTCCGTTCTGACCATGATAAGAAATTTCGCAAAGTTTGATGCAGTATCCTTGGTTAAATTGTGTCTTGTAACAAGGCAAATTGCGTCACAATAAACGTACATGTGTACTTGTGGATACAGTATTATTCAAGACATGTTTTATTCATAATCAGATCATGACAGAAGAGTTGATAATTATGTGGATTGTTAATCTCAGGTTGGATCCTGGACATCAGATGAAGGTCTGGATCTGAACACAGACATGCTGAAATTCTATGGCCCAGATGGTCCCATCGTTGGTGTACCATCATCATCATCGTATTGGCTTGGATTCTGCAGCGACCCTGTGTGTCATGATGCCGATCATCGCACCGAGTTTGTCATCGAGGGTCTCTTTGACCTTCATGGAAGTCAGTGTGATGCTTTACGAGAGAACAGGTTCACTCAAGTAGAGGCAGCCCGCTTTGCAGTTCGTGAAATAAACTGCAATGCTAGTTTCCTCACAGGGGTGCGGATGTCACTGACCATGAATGACATCTGTGGGGACACGACTGCTGCTAAGATGGAGGCATTACGGTCGATCCAGGGATGGGGCTTTGGTGGAGGGTTTCCAAACCAAGAAGATGAGTCCTACCTCATGGGTGTGCTGCATTCTGGCAGCAGTAGCAAGGCCATCGAAGAGAGTAAGGTCCTCCAAATCCCAGATGTGCCCTTGATGGCCAACAGTGCTACAAGTCCAGCACTGAGTGACAAAAGCATGTTTGGCAACTTCCTTCGTACAGTACCCTCAGACACCAAACAAGCAGCAGCTATGGCAGATCTGTTGGCAAGGTTGGGCTTGACGTATATACAGACTATCCACACCAAGGGTGCCTATGGAGAAGGAGGCATTCAGGCTCTTAAGGAGGTAGCAAAAGAGGTAAGAATAAACACTACTCCATATGACAGCAAGGCAAAGAAAATGAAGTGCCTCCTTTTTTTGGTGGTGTGAAAGAGATACCACTAATGTTGAAGGCTCCATACAGTAACCATTATATACATTGTTGATAAAAGAGAAAGTTGAATTACTTAAAAGTGAATTAATTTATTAGGCATATGCAAACTTCCTGTCCACTCAAAATTTTCAAATGATTTCCCATTCTTTTTTGTACAGAAAGGAATCTGTATTGCTAACTCCTTTGTCGTGGTCTCCACCACCACCACCAATTTTGCCAGAATATTGAATGACATTCTAGGTAAACCTGATGCAAGAACATTGGTTCTTTTCCTGACTGACGAACACGCCCAAGCCCTGTTTGAAGTGATGGTTGACAAGAATATTGATCCAGGTCAATTTCAGATTCTTGCATCCGATACCTGGGGTACAAGGACTGACTACATCCCAGGCTTTGAAAGTCAAGCTATTGGTAAGCATATGCCCCGAGTCTTAAACTGTCTGTGTGTGTTATCCGTATGTCCATTAATCTACAGCATTTTACTTCAAATCCCATTTCCTCATTTAAAAAGCTAAGCAACCACATTGTTATGATGCATATAGGTGCTTTGACAGTGTTTTCCAAGACATCAGTCATCCCCGAGTTTGAAGACTACTTCCTCCAGTTGACTCCCGAGACTCAAGATGGCACCAACCCCTACTTCAATGAATACTGGATGCAGAAATTTCAGTGTGACCTCCCTGGTCATGACGAATATCGCAAAACTTGTACTGGTGAGCTTCGTTATCATACTTACTTGCAAATTGGAGTTGAGAGTCCATATAGGCATATACTCAGAGAATATCCTTTCAAATTTAAATTGTGACCAAGAAACTTAACACCATGCATCTTGATCCCTTGATGACTGCGGAGGGGTGCTTACCTGTATTTAGAGGTTTAATTAAAGGTACAGTCCATCATTTGCAGCTATCCAAAAAGTAACTGATGCGTCTAAAGACGCATCGTTGGAAATTTTTGTTTTTCCTTTATTCAGCGAAGCGCATGCAAGCGTTGACACAACGCACACCCACGCAGTTGCTATAATTCGTTGGTTCAGTGCGCGCAATCGCGTACCTGCAATCAGCTCAGTAAGATGGTGTCTCAGATGCTAAATTCAGGCTCAATGGGAGACTTTTGAAGTTTTGAGACGCTGGTGGCAGCAAACATACCGGTCCTTTTTCCATTGTTTGCATCATATTGAACATGCGCCCTTAACAATTGAAAAGGACACATGTGTTTGCTGCCACCAACGTCTCAAAAGTCTCCCAATCAAAACATGACTCAGCAACTTTTGATTTGAAATCGAGATCCTAGAATATTGTTTTCTCGCTGAGCTAATGAAAATTCATCTGGTTAGTTATTCAGCACCCTTCTTTAGATTTTGAGCACTTTTGTTGCTTCAAACGAACATAATGCACAAATTACAAATCATGGACGCTATCTTTAAGAATTCTGTTTGGCACAGTACGTGAAATGTTATCTATGCTTTGAGAATATAAACAGGGAGATATGATTCACGATTTTACACACGTATTGTTCTTTTTAGGTTCGGAAAGGCTGTCTAGAAGTGATGTGAACAGCCTAGGAATGGAAAACATCATCAATGTTATTCAGGCTTATGCAGTGGCCCTTTCTGACCTCATCGGTGAGACTTGTCCTGATGGAGGTCCCTGTGATGCCCTTTATGATCTCACCAGCCAGCATTGGTTTGACTACCTTAAAGACGTTGCTTTCATCAGTCCGGTTGGCTCAAGGAAGATGGTCAGCTTTGATGAAAATGGAGATGGGGCAGCACTCTATTCCATATACCAGCTCACAGAGATGAACAATATGTTTCAGTATCAAGAGGTACATTTTCTTGAATAATGCTTTCAGAACACTTTAGAATTTTAAATGCTTACAGTAAGCATTTAAAATTCTTAAGCAGCTTACTGGTGCTTAAACTGTTCTGTACCAATTTAAATGGAAATGTTCTAGATATTATGCATGCATATAATTTCTATTAAATAACTATAGTCCACAATGTCACATTTTGGTTTGTTTATCTGACAACAGATTGGTTCTTGGGACGATGTCGATGGTCTGTCCAGCCTCTCTGATGACATCATTGATCCAATGTTCTCATCAGTGTGTACCGGGTTATGCTTGGAATGCAACCCACCAACATCACCTGACGCAAATACCACCTCTCACCAGGACTACTTCAGTATCCCTGGAGACCTGGACTTTCCAGTCGTCATGCAACTCAGCAAGTCTGGAGATGGGGTAACATGTGGAGACCCGAAGCCGGAAGAATCGCTTGCTCTTGAATCACTCCTGTATGCTCTTGACAAGGTGAACGCAGACCCTTCAGTTCTACCTGGAGTTCAGCTTGGTGTGACTGTAGTGGACTCTTGTGGGAATCCTGCCATTGCAACACGGAAGCTTGTTGGACTTTTGGGTGATTTTGTAAGTCTTGAAAGTACAGGAAAACCATTTGCTGTTCTGGGTCCATCCAATCCCGATGTTGCTGAGGAGATTGCAAACCTTGTAACTGGTCAAAGTAAACTGCCAATGGTAAGTATCTAATACTTTCTGACTAAACCATAAGCTACAACCACCAGAAATATTTGGCCATTAAACGGTCAGACAGCAATGCAGTTTACATTCAGTTTCCCTGTGCTTACATTAGCGATTTTAGCCTTTTGGCCTTTTCGAATAAAAAGGGAGAATGGTAGAAGTGGGGTATAAATGATAGCACGCATTTCTCATTATATCCACAATCCAACAACTATGACCTGGTTTTATGATTGAACTGTTTCAGATTAGCTACAGTGCCTTGAGTCCTAATCTCAATGAAGATCCCCTTGTGTTGGCCACATCTGCTCCATACGCCGAAGAGGTTGCTGCCATCATTGGGATCTTGGAGGAATTTGACTGGAAGTATGTAGGAGTGGTACACTCTATGACTCCATATGGCTTAGCAAACAATCAAGAATTCCAGATGGCTGCCCAGGTGGCAGGCATTTGCCTGGGAGCTCAGCACTACCTTGATGATAGCACGAACTTCCAAGAGATCATCAATGATTTCAGCAGCGACCACTCTCTGAATGTCATTGTTGCCTTTGTCAATGAAGAAGATGCTAGAAGCCTCTTGTATGCTGATCACTTTCAGCTCAGCAAGAGGTTTGTGTGGGTGGGAACTGACTCGTGGGACTCTCCAAATCTTGTTTCTGGTCTAGAAAACTCAGCCAAGGGAATGCTGCTGGTGACCAAAGAAAGACCAGACCTTCCAGAAATACAGGACTACTTCGCAGACTCAGACCTCCTAGAAGCTGCAAGTGCAAGGAACCCTTATCTCAGAGATTATCTCCAAGATATCTGTCCTAGTTCATCCAACTGCCAGTTTGGAAATCAAATCCAAGAATCTCTCCAGGAGCTGTCCGGAGAAATCTCTCCTCTGGTCAATGCATTGTATGTAGCTGCTCATGGTGCCAACTTACTCCATGATTCAAAGTGTGGCTTCTCTAATGATGAACTGTGTGAAAGTTTTCTTGATTCGTCTCCAGGAGAAAGGGTAGGTGCCATACGTCGTGTGACAGTGGAGTCTGGGGCCGGTGGAAACCCCTTCTCATTTGACGAACACAGTGGTCCTGCCACTTACAGCATCAAAAACTACCAGTATGATGGACAGAATGGGCAGTTCCTAATTGTAAGTGACACAAGTTAGGTACATATTGAATTAAAAAATACAAAGCATTTGCTGTCATGCTGAGATGGTACATCGGAAATACAAGCCTGATCAAAATGCACTGTATCAGCCTAGATTAACTTTTATGGAAACTTGTATGCAGTAAGCCAAAAACTTAAGGTGCTGTTTTACGAAATACTTATTTTCATATTTCTTCAAAATGTTTAAACCATCAAAGATTTTGAAACTACATTGTACATGTACCACCACAAATTGTTCTTGTTATTTCAGGTTGGCAGATGGCAGAACGACCAACTTGATCTTCAGAGTACAGGCATAAAGTTGTACAATCCCGTTGCTGAGGAAGCTCAAAGAGGTCCATCTGGCTGTTCTTGTGGTCCGATTGTCGTGGCTGAAGGAGGTGATTCAGTACAGGTGTACATGTATGTCTGGAAGTGGATAGATTATGGCATATGGTCAACCGTCGTCCTAGCCGTGTCAGGTCTATGTGGAGTGTTGGCACTTTTGATAGGCATCTTGTTTCTCAGCAAACGTCACAGCTATGTGGTTCAGAGTGCATCTTTCAGTCTCAGCGTGTGGCTTCTCTTTGGGATTATCCTGATGTACCTCCTGAATGTGGCATTCATGTTTGAGGCCAATCCAGCCATTTGTGGCATCCGTCGTTTTGGTGTGAGTTTTGTGTACTGCATGGTGTATGCTGCGATGCTTGTCAAGAGCATCCGGGCTAATCGATTTGCACGTAAACAGCCAGGTGTTGATATGGACTTTGCCGGCTCCTGGTCCCAGTCTCTCTTGTTTCTGGCCTTCCTCCTTCCGGAGGTTTTCTTGGTGGTTGAGTGGCTGGTCCTGATTCCTCCTGATGCCATAGGTGGACCCCTGGATGCCTGTGGGACCATTTCAATGTCAACATGCAGCATCACTAACATCGATCTGACCATCTTCATGATGTATGCCTACTTCCTGGTCCTTGTAACATTCCTCTCCTCCTTTGGTGCTCTGGATTCCTCTCATGCCCACCATGAGGGCAAGTCCATCTTAGTCAGTAGTCTCTTCAGCATCTTGATTCTGATTGCCTGGGCCTGTGTTCTCAACTTACTTGACCCTGAGTTTGGCATCCCGGCAATCCCCATCGGTCTGACAGCAGATGCTACGATCATTCTGGTGTTCATGTTCATGGGGAAAGTAGCTGCCCTTACCAAGAAAGAAGAGAATGCTGACACTGGCAACAACAAAGTCACAGACATCGATATGGAAGATAGGCCAGAGAAGAAGTTACATGTGTACGACAATGCTGGTGGTGAGTTATTTGTGAACAGATTTTGATAAAAAAATGCATTGTCAAAATTTATTATCAAACATGCGTGCATCCGAATAAGGAAAGAGGAAAACGTGCATGCATCTGAATAAGGAAAGAGGCAAACACAAGTTTTTGCATGGACCTTGAACATTTTCATGGCACTTAAGGCAACTGTGTTGTTTAACCACTTTGCGCCGGGATTATTTTGACATTGAACGGGCCCAGGCGCGGGATCGTTTTTCACGAAACTTGATGCCAGACAGGTTCAGGCAATAGTCCGCGGGTAGCACACCCTGATATTTTTGGCCTCGCTCACTGTGAGCCGGTTGCAGACAGATATTTCCGGCCTTGCTCGTTGCGTTTTATCTGTCATTTGTTCTGAAAACCACAAAACCTTTGCGTGTATACACGTAATCCGACATGAACCGGTTAAGCGCACTTTAATCTGCAGGTAGCACACCCTATTTCCGGCCTCGCTCGCTGCGAGTGGGTCACAGACAGATATTTCCAGCCTCGGCTTGTTGCGTGTTTATCAGTCATCATTCTGAATACCGCAAAACCTTTGCAGACGTGAACTGGTTAAGCACACTGTTGTTCCATACAACAGGACCCATAGTGTTAATCACAAAGGACGAGATCGAATAAGACTTCATGAATGTAGGTATTTTTTGCAATCGTGAAATTCCCTGATCTCCATTAAACTACCACAGCAGATTTCGTCATGCCGTAAACCAATTCAAAAAATCAGTAATACGGAGAGCAAGTATATTATTTTTTCTGATTTAGTTTAGTTAGCAATGCAACCAAAGATTAACATCTCAATTTGGCATGTGTTTTTATACAGCTTCACCTGATGCAGCTGCAGTCGGAGAGGAACAAACTGGTTTGTAATTCTGGATATACATTGTATCATGTAAGGCCATGTCCAAATTATTTAGCTACGGCTTGAATTTACTGGAGTCTATGATAGCGGCTGCAGCCACTTCACATAGACTTGTGTGTAATTTCAAGCCGGACATAGACTTATTAGGTAATAATCTCTGATGAGCTAAAGCATGGTTTCCATCATCATGAAGCCAATGTTTCGTGAGTGATTGGACAGGTATATGTGACCGGCTCCACAACCATTTTTGTCAAAATGTGTTTTTCATTTGTTACCCATGAATGACATCTTTAATACCTACAAATTCAGGTTTCATTCACAGAAATGTTGATTTTGATAAACAAAGTGGAAAAAACAACCATTTTGTGTGCATCGTTCTGTTGTTCTACATCAAAACCAGCCTTTCAAAAACATTTCAAAGCCTGTTTTCTTAGTTGTGTAATTTGAACTCCAAGGAAGTAATTAATATGCAAATACATCATATCTCCAGAACGGGCAGGACTATGGAGCTCTATTATATACAAATGAAAGCTTACATTGTGGGCTTTCCAACCATGCATATAACTCAATTTCACTTGTTTGCGACATAATACCCTTTTTTTTGTGGAGCCGGTCACATATAAGCTGTACTGTCATCAGAAGGTAAGAGCACCCTAGTCAAATTACTGAAAATAAAACTGAAGTCCACGTTGGAACTACTATATTTACATGTTATTAGAGATTATTACTTGTGTTTCTGCAAGCCAATCCAGTTTCTCTACATACAATGCCTCAAATCTGAGAGAGATGCAGCAATCCAAATTTTCTGTATACCATGGTAGATTGATAAAGCAAAGGAAGGACTGAAGCTTGACTATAGAAACCTGTGCTTAGTATTCTGATTTGTTATCAAAACTGTGAAAAAGCAAAACGTAAAAAAAATACAAAATATAGGACTGAGGTTTTGTGAATGACTTTTATAAAAACATGAGGGTGCTCTGAAACAAAAAATTATGGGTTAGTTTGAAGTGTTGATTTTGAGGGCTGATTCAAGCTTGTGCCACCTGAAAGGAGAGAAAAAAAGCTAGCCTGAGCAAATGCTGCACTTCAAACTAAAATCTCAGGCATCAATTACTCAATTGCTTGAAACAATTGTTTTAATGAAATGAAACTGATAAAAATGAATCGCTTTGTAAAACCCATCAAAGAAGGATTCGGAAAGGATTTTTGTGTTAGTTTTAAGTTACTAATAGTTTGGGAGTAATGGCAGAGAATAACGAAAGGTGGAGGACCTGGACTAGCCATTTTTTTTTATAACTATGGGTGTCAGATTTACATAGTATTTTTAAGTTCATTATCTGGTCATATTAATAAAATGTTAGGGAGAGTGAATATTATATTGTATTAACATTTGATTGTCAACATGGCATGGTATAATAAGGTGATCTGGAATCTACAATAAGGGAAAAAATGTGTGTTTGGGAGGTATTATAACACTCTGTTTAAGACCGGTTTGAGTCTGGATGGGCGAAGCCGAGGGTAATTATCGCCCATCCAGACTTAAACCGGTCTTAAACAGAGTGTTTAATACCGACCGAACACACGTTTACATACCCATTCATAAATACCTTTTTGGTAAAAAAAATCAAAACAAGTCAAAAACTAGACATTGCTTACTTTTTTGCTCAACAATTTTACTTCATGTTGTATCACACACCCCTATGACTATAATATTGAATGTCCCTCTACAACTCCTTACCTTATAAAGAGATTGACGCGCGCGTCATGCTTACTGCGCGACGTCGCGCAGAATGCACCTGGGGCATTGCGTTGTGAATTTAGGACTATAAAATACTGACTCACTGGTAGTATTGCGCATGCCTACGTGAGTATTATGAACGTTCAACCAATAAAACGGTAAGAGGCACTGGATTTTTAGGAGTCCAAATTTCATGTGACACTGGAAAAGTGTTTAAGACCAGCTAGCCATGTCTTTATCATCCGTTCAAGACTGGCCACTTGAAGGGCTCTTGACTGATAGGAATGGGTAAACTGTCTTAGGTATTTATGAATTATTAGTAAAACCAACTGTACTCTATTGTTTAGTAGAACAATCAAACTAACAAACGTTTAGTGTAATGCAACCATGTCTATTTCTGTCTGCATTCTCTTGACCCCTCCAATAAAGGATCTCTAGGGGTATAATTGTATTTTACAGTATATTTCTGTCTAGAATTACTGACAATCAGACATTTATTGTAACATCAGTCAAAACAATATTTAATAGAAAATGCAAATACCTCATGTATCAAGGAAATAGTATGGTGCCTTTTTGGGACTTAAATTACTGAGCTAACATCAGCAGCTTGCAACACAGTCAAGGTGTCTTTATCAACTAGCATTGTTGAGGCCCTCACGTGACCTGTCACATGACCATGCTTGGTCAGACGACAGGAAGCAGTCATACACGTGGTGTCATGTAAGGGGCCTCAACAACGGCAGCTGATACAGACATTGTGACGGTGTCGCAAGCTTCTGATATGAGCTCTGTAATGTAATTTAAGTCCAAAAAAAGTGCCTGTACATTTACTTGATTCAATAATGGGACTAGAAACGAGCTTTTTTGCTTGATAAATCATGTATACAGGCTTGCAACTGGGAGTTTAGGAAAAAAAACGAGGAAATTCCAAACGACACAAGACTTTGTACAGTGTTTCTTTTTTTTTATTTGTAATGGCATTCCTGAGAAATAAAATTGAGGAAATCAGCGGATCCGAGGAAAAGTTGCATGTCTGCGTATACGTTTGCATTATACTTTAATATTAGTAATACTTTAATATTGCATATATTAATAATATTTTTATAGACGGTTTGTGATTGAGATTATTACTGAAATCAATAAGGCCTCAATTATCGCAAATGTATAAAAGTACAGCATGTAATCATTAATAGGGCTTTGAACGTATTCACACCAAATTTAACTGTTTCAAGTAGCAGAGATGCTACAAATCTATCAGTAAAAAGCCTGAAGCACTACTAAAAAAACCGGAAACTACCCTTACCCCTTTCAAAAATGTGTTTTCTGGATGTTTCAAACCAAATCTAGCTCTTTTAATTTGTCACATTTTTGAACGAAAAACCTAGATTCAGGTTAAAACCTGAAAAGTGGCATCTCTGAAGTGGCAACACAATTGGTGACATGTGATCATAAAAATTAAATTTTAGCGGAAGAATAACTTTTTATGACTTTGGAAGAAAGATGAAAGAGAACTGAAAGTATGATTATGAGGACGAGTCTTTCCCCACCACCCCAAAATGCATTAGTAATTTCTAAAGTGATGTTCAATTTGTATTTACTCTTAATAAGATCAAGGGCATGAGTACATCGTGTATTTGGCATTTGCTTTGTGTATCACACATATTGGATTTTTTTTTTTTTACAAAATAATGACCGTAACAAAAGCTTAACTTTTTACCATTATATATTAATATATTAATAGAAATATCTAACCAGCAGTGACAGATGTTTGAAGTATTGATTTAAAGGATTGTATAATGACTGATAATAAATGAGAAAAGGTGGTTTTATTAACCATTTCTAGTTTTTCTACTTTTCATCCGAGTTATAAATTTGTTACAGACAGTCTGAGGTTTACTGAACAAATGAAAGATATACGGTAGTGCATAACTGTGTTTTCCATCACTACTTGGTACTTGGTTGGTTCTGCTCCAAAGGACTTCCACAGGGAGTATAACTAGGAGGCCAGAAACACCGGGGCAAACCCCTTCTCTTAGCGATAAGTGTGACTGGGTTCTTTTACGTGCGTTAGGCCTTATACAACACACAGGACCTCCGGCTTAACATCCCATCCGGAAGGACGAAGCAATAATGGTTAAGTGCCTTGCTCAAGGGCACAAGTGTCCGGACCCGGGCTCGATCCCACGCCACTGTTGCCTCTGAAACACCAGAGCACGAGTCCGGTGCTCTTAACTGCTAGGCCATGACACAAGGCAATAACTTTCATGCCAAATTTAAATGTGTGCATTTCTTTCAATATTTGACAGACTTTTGGAATCAATAAATATTCCGAAAGCAAATTTCATTACTAGGGGATCAATACTACAGTCTGTGGTGCATTTGCAAAATTAAAAGCAGTAACACTCGGCTCTTTGAGGAGAATATAGAGGATACACTTATTCTACAAGCACAAATAATGGCCTTGATTACTTCAACCTGAAAACAATACAAACCCATCTATTTTACAGCCTGTAAACCAATATGACTTACACCAGTTAACTGTTGTAAGCGCTTTATAAGCACTGTTTATTATTATTAATTATTATTTTTATTATTATTGTACTTCATGAACCAGTGAGAGCACACAATGTCCGAATACACTGGAGCAAGTACCTGTAATTTACACCTGTGCACTAACTGCAACGTGTAAACGTCTCGGGTCAAACGCTGGTCAAAGCGTCATCACAAAACTTCTTGATCCTGGCTCCCCACTGTGCATTGTGATGCGTGCCGCTATTGGTAACCAGTATGGAACCATGCCCCAGACACTGCCCCATGAACTGTGCCCCACACTCCAAAATCCTCGACTAAAGCACTCAAACCAACCAGTGTTTGAGTGAACCTAGTCGAACTATGGTTTACCTTAAGGCTTTACACACAAGAGCCTCTCAACCCGGGTTGAACTCAACCTTGGTTGAATCAAGTGCCGCCCCGGGTTGACTTTTTAATTTTCAACCCCACATTCAAGCCTGCATCATTGCCAACTGAGCACATTTTGCTCGGTTACTACTGTTTCAAACCTTGGCAAAAGTTTCAACCCAAGTTGACAATTCAACCTGGGCAAAATCAATCTAAGGATTGACCCAGGGTTGAAAATGTTCAAGTGTGAAACTCTGCATGTTTTCAACCCTGCGTCAACCCCGAAATTTATCTATTGTGAAGAGGCCTCAAGTCCCCGCTCAATCTTGCTCTTGGCTGTTTGAGGCAGGCCACACAGCACCGTCAAATGTTCCTACACAACCGAGTCCATAGATGCTTTCTATTGCAGCCATCTTGGAAGTGCGAACTTTTGTTTCATACAGAATCCTTGTCATTTGATTGTTGGGACTCACACCGGTTGACATCATGTGACATACGTTATTGCTCCCATTCACGCCGGGGCTCAAAAAGTCCCATTCGCCCATGGGCAATGGGTTTTACTATTCAACAGTTAGGATCAGCCTTGTTCCATGACGCGGTATTTGTGTGCAAATGCATACTGGTGTGCGTGTTGAGCGTAGCGCGTATTGTTCCAAAGAGCCAGCACTACAGAGTCGGGTTGAAACATTTCGAGAAGGCGCGCTTTGGAAGAGAGAAATACATTTTCCACCAATTTTGTACAGAAATAAAAACTTCAAATATATCAAATGACAAGGATCTATATGTCAGTTATATAAAACAAATATTGAGTGGCTTTAAATTGTGAAAAGGGAGGAATATTATCGCTCCATTTCACTCGGCTTCGCCTCACGAAATGGAAAAGTCCAGATTTTACCTTGCGATAATATTCCTCCCATACCACTCTGAGCCACTCAATATATGTATTTTTTATAGCACCTCAATGATGGCTGCTAAAAGCAAAATACCATATGGCCTAAAGGCAAAAATATGGTTGTCTGTGTACCAAAGGTGTTGTATTCTACATAGACTCTACATATGCCACTCAACCCCACCCCAGCCTCCCCAATCAAATGTGAGAACAAAAAAACACGTACGCTCCTTTTATCTGATACTCAGTTGCAGCTGCGTGTGTTGTGTTGACACGATATGCTTTACACGAGTCAATCACTAAATAACAAAGCTCAAGTAAACAGAAACATGTTTTGTCAATACACCAAGTTTGGTTTTATTTTCTAACTCCTATATTGCCATCACAAAAAGCAAGTCCCGCCAGCTTTTGATGTTTTTCTCCGCATTTGCAATATTTCAGATTGATTCGTCAGTCAGCCACCCTCTGGTGATCAGTTTAGGTGGCCGACGTCATACGCTGAAGCCTTTGCAAATCCAAAGAACACATGTGCAAAAACTGCTCTGGACAAGCTTTCCTTCCAAAAATAGTGACATTTCAACATTTCGAAAAATTTAAAAATTTCGAAAAAATACATACCATTGAAAATCCATGAATCCCAAATGCAATATTGCCAGTGGGTACATACAGTGTACTAAAAAGTAATATTATGGTAAAAAAAAGTATTGCTTCGTGTATAAATTTGATCATGATCTTTATGATTAACCAAATGGTCATCCATTTGCATTCGTTCACTGATTTGTTTTATGAAATTTCAGAGCTTACTGTTTAATGTAGTCAAGTTGCTTCGTCCCTAGACAGTGACACACATATATTCAGTGTAATGCAGGAGATGTTGGCAGATAGATCTCTGCAAAGTGAATTTATGTAAGTTTTTAAAGTTGAACAAAGAATTTGACTGCAGCGGGGTTAGAACCTGCGACCATTGGATTGCCGTTCCGGCACTCTACCAACTGAGCTATCCAGCCCTATGTTGGCGGTTCCCATTTTGTCAATGTCTTTGTTTAAGTGGGGCTAGAAGCCTGCTCCAGTCAATTTCTTTGTTCAACTTCGAAAAAATTATTTTACTGCGCCTACTCAGTTTCCCTTTTCGGCTAATTTTTTTAATTCATTATTAAAAAAGAGAATTGCTTCTGAAGAGAACCAACCAGATATAGAACAATTTCTCTTCGAGAATTGTTCGCTTGTGCACGCAACTTCTCTTAATTACTGTTTTCTCCACTTTGCAAGAGTCTCGGATTGTTATTTTCAGTCAAAGTTCATGGCTTAAACTGCATCCAGAATTGGAAATTCAAGCATTTCTTTACCAGACAATGAAACCGTTTCGTTTTAAGGGTGTGACAGGTCCATATGCTGCTAAAGCACCTACGCCTGTATATTATCAACATTTTACCGTTGCTGCTGCTATTATTGACGTTCACATGTAGCTAATGAAAACAGTGGTGAGTGGCAGATAGTCAATACAAAAATATGTTTGCAGAAAATGAGTGAGATACACGAATATTATATATATTCGAGTAAATTTAACATGCTCAAAATTAGTTTTAAAAATCAATATCATGAAATGTATGAGTTTTCAAAGTTGTTAGTATTGAACAAAACTTAGTATTGAACAAAGATACTAATTTAACAAGGGGATACAACATGCTGTTTTTTAAACCCAATGATTGAAATGTTCAATGTTCCCGATTTCAAGATAAAAAAGTTCACGTCACTAAAGAAAAATACAGCTACTTGTATTCAATGACAGTAACCAGGCGACTGAACACAATGCGTAATAACAAACAAGATTTCACACTTTTCCAAGTACAGAAACCAATTTGTAAGGTTATGTGACAAAAGCAACCGTACTGAGTTTATCAAATTAACATCATGAATGGCAAATTGCAATTTGGAACAAAAAAAAGACAAACAATAACTCAAAGAAATAAGAAAACCCACCCGACATGCACATTATAGCTCATCCTTTTGTTCCTCAGTATCCTCAGCAGGCTCTTCCTCCTCCTCCTTTGTTTCTTTGGGGAGGTAGGGTCCTTCTAAGAATTCTTCAGGAACTTCTTCATCACTGGAGCCCTTTTTGTAGAAGCCCAAGCTACCAAACAGGTCGTTGATTTCAGCTCGCTTGAAGGTTTTAAGACCAATACGCTGTAATTACCAAAGAAAATCATTTATCATATTTAATTCATAAATACATAAGACAGTTTACCCATTCCTATTGATCGAGAGCCTGTCACGTGGCCGGTTTTAAACGGTTAATAAAGACCGGCTGGCTGGTTTAGACACTTTTCCAGTGTCCCATGAACTTTGGACTCCTATGAAATTCGGTGCCAGTACCGTTTTATTGGTTGAACGTTCACAATCCTCACGCAGGCATGTGCAATACTACCAGTGAGTCAGTATTTCGTAGTCCTAAATTTACACTACACTGGCATAGCTGCATTCTGCGCCACATCACGCGGTAAGTGCGGGCCAATCTCCATATAAGGAGTTTTTTACAACTACTCGCGAGAGGGTAATACCATAGCATAGCTAGAGGGGTGTTTCGAAAAACATGAAGTAAAATTGTTGAACAAAATCGTTTGAAATTTATAATTTTGACTTGTTTTGACTTTTGGACCGAAAAGTTTAGATTTTTTTTCGGCGAGGGTCATCATCAGCATTCAGACTCCAACCGGTCTTAAACATTGTGTTTAATACCGGCCAAGCACACATGAGTGAGACTGACACGAGTGCACTACATGTACATGTAGGTAGGACGTGTGGCTGGGTTATGCAGTGTGGCGCTGGAGAAGAGCATCTGATGTTGCCTGCATAGGCAGTGGGCTTGGCCTAATGGAATCACTCTATTCAGAAACAGAGCCAATAACTTTCAATGGACTCTGTGCGCAAGTACATGTACCCCCTCAACATCTGCAAAGAGAGAGCTGGGGGAGACCACTGGAATGGAAGTTTGAACGCATTACCATCGGCGCTTGACACTCAAGTGAGGACGCAACTGGTCAGGGGCCAATTTCATAGAGCTGCTTAAGCACAAAATTTGCTCAAGCACAAAACCGTCTTGCTTAATAAAATCAGGTTACCGGCCAAAACTCCATGCAATTGTTATGCTAAGTAAACAACAGCTAAATACCAGTCACAAGCAATGTACATTACATAGAGTTTTGGCCGGTAACTTAAGTTTACTAAGCAATGTTTTTTCGTGCTTAAGCAAATTTTCTGCTGAAGCAGCTCTATGAAATTGGGCCCTGAGCTCACTGAGAATAAAATCAGTTGTGCATATACTTCAATACATATTTGCACAAACCAGTACACGCATGTGCTCCTCCCAACGGGGCTTTCGAGAGTGGTATAAAAATGCCATCTACTGTCTGTGCAAGGAGTCCAGACTCCATACAATAATTATAATAATTTGGGAGGCTAATCATCCTTACTCGCATTCATTTGACATTTCACTGCTAAAACCAGCTACGATAAAAACACCAAAACTGAAAGAAAAACGTTTACCCAAAAGTAAATCTGAAGTTATGAAAACACTGAGCCTACCTTAATAATAGAGCCTTCCTTGTCTAGCAGCAGTAAATCAGGATCTGCCCCACCAATGTGCTTGAAAGGTATATTATGGCTGGAAAGGAAGGTTCTAGTTAAGGAAAATTGGTTCAATTTAAGGCAACTTATTCAGAAATTGTACTCAAGGAATAACTGTGGCAATATAGTGGAACGCTGCTATAACAAACATTGCGGGATCCACAGAATAGCAATCATTCGGTATAGCGATTTTAAGCTGCCGGTGCTCCGGAACTAACTTATCAAAAAATAAATAACATGCCCTGGTGGTTACTGAAAGACGACTTTGAACATGTGCCAACTATTGATTTATGTAATTACACAGTTTTTGAGCTTACTACCTACAGCAACGGGTATCTTTCCCCCTCTTTTCCTTGGGGAAATAATAGCCACTTTTCGCTCTTCTGTTGACATTTTTCAACAACAATGTTCGGTACGTTTTGAACAAAAAAAATTAAAAGGGAACCAAGGACAATGTTCATTATAGCCGAATGTTCAGTTTAGCGACGTTCCACTGTACTACATGTACATGTATCTAGTGGTAGATCAAAATTGTTACCAATATGTTAATAACCGTCTATCCCCCAAACCGAGAGCACTAGTTATTTGAATACTTCAAATTCCAGACATATACACATATCGAGACAAAATGAACAAGCCGATACACTGTGTAGTCACTTTTCAGCTGAAAAATTCAGATTACAGTACACAATTTGACTGAGTTTCCATTTGTTTTTCAAAAACAGTGAAAGATCTGAAAATATTCTAAATCCCATCCAACTGCTTTGTAGATCGTTTCTGGCCAATAACCAGAGCTATTCCTTTCACACATTCAATGACAACTGAAATCTGCATTTTCAATTCATAACAAAAGCCAGCAGTGTTTATAAAATTACGTTCATGTGAAGCAAACACCCCAATATTGAATTCACGTCTCCCCAGTGCGAAAATATCCATCACAAAAAATGTACATGTAAACATTAAAGCCAGATGGTTGTTTCAATTTTACTGCTATGCTGAGTAGTACGTCTGCGTGCAGTGCTCACATAAGTACCATGCATACTAAACCAAGGTCGACTGAGCAACCCTAACATTAACAGAATTTTCACAACTCATTACAAACAACTTATTAAAATATTATGAAATGATTGAGAGCTTTTTGACACTGAAGTGCTACAGTACCTGCTTCAGTATTTTTCTAATAACTTTTCTGCTCACCGAAAGAATGCGTGTAAAAACAAATCTGATAATGTGGATATATAAATGAAAATTATTCCACAATTCTTGTCAAGGGACCAAATGAACTTGAAACAAAAAATATCAAAAAGAAAAATTAAACATTTTTTGAAAAATTGCTGATCTGTGGGATAAAACAAACACATCAAGCAGACTTCCTTGTTCGGTGTAGGTTATATGGGGGAGGGGAGGTTTACCAATTCCCCCCCCCCCCATTTTTTTTTCAATTTGCCAGACGGCCGTGCTGATGGTTAAGCCACATCAGCATACAGCAGGCAGTGTGCAGAGAGCTTCCCCCTCCCCCACCCCCACCCTTTTTCCCCCCTCCCCCACCCTACTTCCCCCTCCCCCACTCTCCTTATTTTTTTTGGGGGGGGGGTGTTGTTTTTTTTAAATACTCCAGACACCAGTCAGGGTTAGATGCATTTATACCCTTTAAATTGTGCTTGTCTGTCACTGCATATATTTCAGTCTGGAGATCTGCCACCTGAAACGCTGGTGTACATGGTGAAATTGTGAATCAATAGTGGTGCTTAAAAGCAGGACTTTTGTCCTCAAAACTGGAGGTGAGCAATTCCAATATTATCAGAGGAAGAGTAATGTCCATGACAGAGTTAATTAACCATCTAAATAATGATTCTGAGAAATGCTCCAAAAATCCTAGTATGTAATCTCCTAGACAATTAAGGCCAAACAAAAATGCTTCTGCTTCCGATTACATTGCATTTGAAAATAGGGTAGGTAGGTAGGGAAATTTTCTTTTTTTACCAAATTTTTTGTGTACGATCATATGGAGGCGTCTGCGTATAGTCAAGGGTAAAAGGTACGGTAGAAATTGATGGTTTGGGTGTTTTTTCCATTTTTCCCATAACAAAATTAGGGTAAGGGCTGTCAGAATAGGGTAGGTAGGGAAACCAGATGCAGACCTATTGCTTTTTTCTGGCCTAATATGTAAGGGGATGAACCTGTGTTCACAGGAACGGAGTGCCCATCTCTCTTCGAAGCGATTGGGCCAGACTCAAGTCCATGAAATGCTGCTGTGGTGGATCGCCACACCACCTCCACAGAAATATATTAATATATGATGTATACCATTTGAAAAATACATTTTCAGGTTTATTCACTGAGCTCTTAACCAGTTCACGCCGGGATTATTTTGACAAGAACGGAACGAGGCGTGGGATTACTTTTCACTCGACCTCAAGCCAGGCGGGTTGAAGCCATGACCCTCGGGCAGCACACTCACACTTCCGGCCTCACTCACTGTGAGCGGGTTATTGACAGATATTTCTGGCCTTGCTCCCTGTCATGCCTGTGTGTTTATCCATCATCCGTTCCGAATATCACAAAACCTTTGCGTGTATACACATCATCCGGCGCGAACTGGTTAAATGCTCTCACATAGGCCCAATGCTGGAAATGCTCAGAAACAAATGTCTAGCACAGTGTTTCAGATGGCATGAGTTCCTGACTAGATCAAACATTTATCTGCATGGCAGGACATTCCAATTCAATGCACTAAAGTCTCAGTCGACAACTATGGCCACGTTCGCGCAAGGACTATAGTTGACAAATGGTTAACTAACGTTTGCCCGAACTCTGTCTAGTCGACGGTGGTTGACTACGCTAGTCAACTATTTGGAACCAGCCTACTGGGGTTGGTTGCTTCGCTGGTAACCAATAGCCGCGCGCATTCATAACGCTAGCAGAGAGCCAGGATCCAGAAGTTTTGCGATGACATTTTGACCTGCGTTGACTGGAGACGTTCGCACTTTGTTATCAGTGCGCAGACGTAAGGTACATCACAAATGAACCACTAGTCGACTAATGGTCCTTGCCCGAACTTGGCCTATGTTTCCTTCGTTGGTTAATTGAAATATTTGTGAAAAAAAATGCAGTATCCTCTCTGAGTGATCCTCGCTTGCTATTTCCCTAGTGTGCAGCATTGCTAATGTTGCTAGTATTGTGACTTTATTTGGGCGTGATCCCTGGCTACATGGCATATATATCTAATTCATGGCTTTTGACTGGGGTCCCTTAAACAAAGACACTGACAAAATGGGGAACTACCAGTACTCAGTAGGGCTAGACAGCAAAGTTAGTAGAGCACCAGCACGGCAATCTGGAGGTCGTGGTTCAAACCCCGCTCCAGTCAGTTTCTTTGTTCAACTTTAAAAACTTGTTGCAAATAACATGAAAGGATACTACAGGGGCAGATCATGGGTTACAAATGCCTTGACTTCAGGCAGTCGGTTCAGCTGTCATCCACTGCAGCTCTGGAAAATAAGAACATCAGACAGAATTAATACTTTTTCCCTGCAATAGAACTGTACATTTTTAATCTCTCTTCAAATACTGACACTGATTTGTTATAACGGCTGTGCTGAATGTACTGAATATTCAAATATTCGCTCATCCATTGAATATCCAGATTAGTATTTTTCCAATTTGATATTGCACATGCCAGTCAGAAAGTGCATGCATACGCCTTGGTTTGAATGTGCATGTATCGATCAGGAAGTAAATGATCCACTGATCAGGATTTGCTTGATCATTGAGCTTTAAATATGTTAACAAAATCATGTATGTATTATTTATTTTTTTGTCTGCAGTGTTTCAAATATTCTAACATTTGATTGAATTCAAGTTTTAATAATCAAATACTATATTATTCGAAAATGCCCAGCCCTATACTATTGTATCGTAAAGCATCAAGTACATGTATTTACTTATTGAACCATCTTTTATTCCAATTTCCGTCATTTTTTTTTCAGACTGAAGAAATTGCTTTCAAATGCCTACTAAAACCACTGCGATACTTGCAAACAATGCATGCCTGCAAAAAGTATGAAACTTTAAGTTTATTAAAAGAAGTGGCTATCGTTACGGCAGTCGTTGTTTAGCGCCCTCTACGATACTTTTTTGATACGCAGGCAGGTATATAATTATTTGTTTCCACACGTTTTAGCGAGCAGTGCGACAGCTCAGTCGATAGAGGGTAGGATTTTGCACCGCGAGGTTGCGGGTTCGAATCTCAGTTTTACACTCGAATTTTTTTCCTTTTCTAACCTGAGGCTTTGGAGGATTTTTTTTAAAAGGGAAATAGAGTCCGAATTTCATAACGTTCAAATTCACTTTTTTCCTTCTAATTTTATATTTTCTTGTCATGTTTTTATAAAAGTTGCAGTCTACCGTTACGATAGAAAATGGGAAATGCGTTACGGGCTGCCGTAACAATAGCCACTGCGTTTATTAAAAATTGGCATTCAGTACAGTAGCCACTCAACTCGTTTTCACTTTGTGTATGTAGGCCTAGGCCTACACTACTCCTAGAACTAGTATGAGGCTCCACTACGTGGAGCCTCATAGTTCTAGGAGTAGGCCTACACTGCAAGCCAAGGCAAGGTGCTATCTTACACAAAGATAGACCAAGCACTATTTGGGCGTCAACCCTGAAACATAAGACATTTCAATATGACACGACAATGACTAAAAACACTCGGTGTCATCATGCCTACCTCAAGTCTGCCAGAGAAGACCAGCCTTTCCTCTGAACGAGCTCCGTCGCCTGCATCTTCGCCGGTAACAATCACCGTAGCGAACAGGCTCAAAACAACCAGCACTTTCCCCAAATCCAACGCCATGCCTGGCTCATGCAGGTCTGCCGACCGACCTGAATAATTGTTCGGTGGACGTACGTACGTGCAGACGCAGTAACAACTGGGAGAAATACTGAGGTTCCAAACTGCCTGCTGTCGTGCTGATGAGCCAAGCTAGCTAGCTAGCTCGAGGAACTAATCAATCAAGTGCCGAAAACTGAATAAAATGTGAAGAGCGACCTCTATCGGCGGTCCTTCGAGCTTCAAGCCACTACACGTCTACGGCTTGTGTGACTCGGCTTCAGATTCACATTGACAAGCTGTTTAGACATCCGTAGCCGCAGACAAAAAAATTCGTTTTTAGCACTTTGGCGATGCCTATCCAAGGTTCATGTGCCGTGCCGTGGCTAGATCCCATTGGTCGCATGCACACGTGTGTTTTTGCGTTGCCCTGTAAAACCTCGAGAGCGACCTCTGTGGTTCCAAATGTTTATAATCTTGAGAGAAATGATAGTAAAATCATCTTTCACTATAGCTCCCTTGACTCCCGGAAAATCCCTTTCAGAGAAGTAGCAATAACTTTATCCTAAATCAAAATGTATCTTAATCACCGTCCCGCAACATTTCTCTTGTAGGCTTATCCATTATCCAAGTGCATCTGCATCTGTAAGATACTGTGTAAACTCCTTGATAAGGATATCCCTTGATAGCCTGGGGGGGGGGGGGGGGGCGTACCATAACCCCCTAGTTTGGCCACTGTTCTTGATAGTTCTTCGTGCATTCCCGACTAAACTCTAAACTAAAAAAACAAAAATAAAAAAAACATTGTCCTCACAGCAAGGCGGGGAGCTATCAGTTGCTGCAGAAAGGCGTCCACATGCTCTTGAAATAAAAACAAAAACAGTTTGACACTCGTGAACGAATAAAATATTATGCAAATTAGCTGCACAACCGAGGCTCTCATTGCTCAGCCATTGTATGACACTGGGGACCGTTTCTTTTGTTTGAATGTTTTTCCTGTCACAAAGAAGGGGAGTTGGAGGCCCTTTCCTTTGGTATTTATGATCAATGCTTACAATAATTTTGTCATCCACTGCAGCTTCGCTGTCAGAAATACGAAATATTGAAAGTGAAAAGAACTCGGAATTTTCCGGGTGACCCTGCCGAAGTTCTCAAAACTTGATTTGATTCAGCTTGTTGACAACGACATCACCGCCGCGGCGGCTTTACTCACGTTTTTCAGGGACCGGCTGTGGTGGGGAATAAAACAAATCCACTCGTGGACGAAGACTACAGATGTCACGAGGGGTAGGGGCGAACAAACTCAGCGCTGGCTTTTATTTGGCAAAGTGCGCCATCTCGTGACCATCGAAGTTACTGAGTTGCAGCAACATTCTGAAAAAGGAGAAAGAACACGGAATTGATAGTTTTAGAGACAAGCAATTGGAAACATGACAAGATCAACACATTCCAGACGTATTTTGGTCCGTCCACATTATTTGTCTTTTGTCTTTGCTTGTGTTTGTAATTTCAAGTTAATAACTCAAGTTCCGTAATGACTTTAAGATTTTGCTAAATACTGGTGTTTAAATACTTATTATGGCTTGGCACCTAATTATCTTAATGATCTCATTACAGTTAGAAACCATCATCGTATAGTCTCAGATGCACTGGTTGATTATTGTTAGATTATCCTAAGACTAAGATGTTGTCAACCTTACAGGAGATCGTATTTTCTCTTCAGCAGCACCTATAATAAGATATGGAATGGCTTGCCATCTGATGTGCGTTATGAAACACAGTTTTTTCAGAAAGGCATTCCACTGTGTTGTATCCTTAGGGGGGTAAGGCTGAAGGGTAGAAGTTCACTTTGACATTTTCTTTTTTGGGTATATGACGTTTGATACTCCCTCCTTTTAATCATGTATTTAATGAAAAAAAAATGTTTTAGCCTCTGAAGAAGAACTTGCTAAGTTCGCAACGTCAGGCCACATTAATTTTAAGATTCATGTATTTTAATAATTGTTATTATCATTTAAGGTCTTAATGAGCTTGTGTGTGGTGCGGTTCAGTGTATAATACACATGCCTGTTTCTGTTAATTTAAAATATTTTTTTAATTTGCTTTTCTACACAAATGTGCATTTTATATAGTTACTATCGTACATGTAATTTATACCTCTGTATACTTAAGTTATTCTATTTTTGTAGCATTTTTAGTGTGCAAGACTAAGTATGCCATTAAGTAATTTTTATACATGATGTCATACCAATTGGCAACCGTCAACCCTAACAATTCAGCATCTTTTGCATCCCATGTATGTCACCACTTTTACACCAATCACATTTCATTTTTGAAGATACACATGCGCAGAAGAGAACAGTTTGCTGAAAGTTTGCATCACGTGACCACAGCATCCAAATTACAAACAACATTAATGTAACTAACGTGGTCCATAAAAGAACTTGTACATTGAACCATTTCCTCTGGTTCTTTTCGGGTGTTCTTTTTTTTTAGGAGTTCAGGCCTATATAGGACTACCTCTGGTTCTTTCCTGAACCATTCTCATGGTGTTTCCGCAAACCTTTCATTCATTGCTTTTGGAGAGACGCCTTATTGGCGACAGTGTTTTGTTTCACTTTTGTTTATCTCCTTGGCAGCCCTGCACTGTCCACGTTCTGTCTTTCGTGTGCAGTGTTTACTTCGTTTCTTATTCCTTTGTTTTAATATCCAATTTTATGTATTCATTGTACTTGTGTGTTTATGTGAATTTCCGAATAAAATATTATTTTTATTATTGTACATTGAGGTTTATGATGCACGATTTCGTATTGAAAGAAATGTACCAGCCCTCTACAATGCGCTTTGGTTTTGCGTGGTAACTCTTTGTAATATAAGGCGTTTCGAGGAAGAAAACAATGAAACGCCACTTTCCCGACAAGATTTTAACGCTGGTTTCATCCACAGTATTTTTCACTGTGCTGTGACCATCCACTAAAAAAAAATTATAAATAGAAGTAAACTAAAATGTCGTTTGTCTCAGTCTCACTAAAATTAATTAAATCATCCAATCACAATGGCAAAACCTACACGCAAAACATACTTGGGTTCATGAACGGCAACGCAATTTGCGATTGCATGTCACATAGTGCGCGCGTTTCATATCACTTCAATCATTCACGGTAGAGACCCTTAGCCCGATCAGATGCGCCAAATTATGGTCTTGCATCTGTCACTGAAAAACATCCATCCGTTCGATATATGCTCCCCAACCTAGCCTTGAACCGTTCCCATTCAAACAGTGTAATTATAATAGGAGAAAACAAACCCTCCCCAACTTCACACAGTTCTAATTTTTCCATGCAGGCCGGGCCAGACAAGTGTCCAAAGGCGTGCCAAACTACCGTGAACTGGCCATTGTTGCCCGAGTGAAGGGGCTGTACAGAGAGGAGCGGGGGTTGATGGAAGTTAACCGTGAAATTCGGCTGTATACAAGATTAGAACGCTAATTCTGGATGACGCCATACACACGTTGTTGGGAGGATTGCTGCATGAGGGGTCGGCAGTGCATCCACCTGACGGCCATTTCTTTCAGAGGGGTTGGTTTGTTGGGGTGCGCATAGCATGTGTTGCTGTAAATCTGGGTGGAAAAACGGTGGTGAAATTGAAGATGCTCATCAATTGCGCAACTTTAGTGGGGTGGGTGCATGGATTCGCTTTGTCTTATTATCAGTCACCTAAATCATATTATCAACACCACTGATGTCATCACTGCATCACCCTCATGACACGTATCACCACCAATGCATACTGTTGATGCTGCCGATGGTTGTAGTGAGGTTGATGTGGTCTCAAGAAGGGTGGGGATGACGGGGATGATGGTGAGGGCGATGGTGGTGGTTGTGCATGGGCGGTGTTACCGACTAGGTCTAAACCCCTCTGCCGGCCCCTTTCACCTACCCCCCCCCCTGTTTGACCCAAACCTGGACCCGCCCCTTGTGTGGTGGCCGTGGTGTACGGCAGCGGCGTAGCTGGGGGGGGGGGGGGGGGGGGGGGCGCTCCCCATAAAAAGTTCGCCCCCCGTCGACCCCCCCCCCCCCACTACAAATTTGGCATCTGGAGAAAAGCACAGCCGTATATGAGTAACTATGGTTAGCCGGAAGAACATAAAGTCCCTTTCCCCCGCGATTTTGTGCGTATTTTTCACCTAAACGCTTTCTTTTCGCGAAGGTGGCTGTGTAATTCAACATCCGTGGAAAGCGCAAAGCGGTATAGTTATTGTCTAACATTAATCATGATATAGGTTTTGAACAGCGCCCCCGTGGGAAGAAGGTGTCCAGCCCCCCCCCCCCCCCCCAATTTGATTTTACGGAGGTTGGGTGTCCGGTGAAGAAAAAAATGTCAGCACAGATGACATTTTTGGGCGGCCCCCCCCCCCCCCCCCCCCCCCCCACCCCCCTAGGATGAGGACCCTGGGTACGCCGCTGCGTGGTGGTGACAGTGGTGCGGGTAATATTGATAACAATGAAGGGCTAATGATGATGATAATACAGATGGAAAGAATGATGACCATGAAAATGATGGTGCTGATTAGATTATCATACTCGTTTATGAATTCATTTTTGATTTAATGTTAGGGAAGCATAATCCTTATTATTCCATTCGCATCAACCAAAATGATAAAAAGCGGTGGTGCGGAATTTAAAAAAATATATATATAAAACAAAATTGTTTTTTAGTTTTGAAACGAAGGGGGAAGATTGAGGTGGCTCGTTGGGGAAGGGGGCTTGAAAATTGACCCCACCCATCCTCTTTTACCCGCCCCTTTTACTTTGTAGCATCCACCAAGATGGCACTGCTATAATCTAGAAGACTGTTGTGCAGAGGCGTAATTATACGACTCCCACCCCGGTGTCCCCTCCCCCTCCTGCCATTTAAAATCATGAATTAACACAAGTATATATCTCTTGCCTTCAGGTGCCCCCTTGAAAAACGTCTGCACCCCAGGTACCCCCTCAGAACTGTTACCCTAGTTACACCACTGCTGCCGTGCAGATTTAAAAAATCTCGAAAACTGTTATAAAGACCTGGTAATATGCGTGTGAAATTATAGGTCATAACGTCCGTATGGCACAAGAATTGATTTTGTTCCTAATCATTCGTATATTGTGTGCCAGCTCGATCACCAACTGCAAGTTTTTCAAGTGGGTAT